AGTAGTAGTAGTAGTAGTAGTAGTAGTAGTAGTAGTAGTAGTAGTAGTAGTAGTAGTAGTAGCCGTATTAGTGTTGCCAAGGCCTTACGGCCGGTGCCGCCGACCCTGAATGGCGACGACGACGACGACGACGACGACTAGCGCTCTTGGGGGCCTCTTGGGAGTAGTTTGTGGGCTTCTTGGGAAGCTCTGAGGGGCCGCTTGGAAGCCTCGTGGGGGCCTCTTGGGGCTTCCTGGGGGTCTCTTGGAGGGGGCCTGGGACGTCTTGGAGGCTTCTTGGACGGTCTTGGGGCTATCTTGGGCGTTTTCGGCCGATCTTTGGGCGACTCGGGGCCCTCTTGGGCCGTCTCGGGGGCCATCTTGGGCATTCGGACCTCATTTGGAGTGTTTTCGAGGTTTCTAGGCCGCCCGAGGAAAAACGAATCTGCCCCCCCACCCCCCCCGGGACCCCCCCCGGGACCCCCCCCCGGGACCCCCCCCCCCTGGGGAAGGGATCAAAGGGAAGGGGCTTCCCTTCGACTCGATTACGACACTGCTCGATTTTTCTCTCGCTCACGAGCTTGAGAAGGAAGCTGCAGGGAAAGGGGACGACGGAGGCGACGACCGACGGAGACGACGACTCGAACAGCCAAGCCCCTCGCACACGCCGACAGGGTCGGCGGATTTGTAGTAGTGGTATTATTATTATTATTATTATTATTAGTAGTAGTAGTAGTAGTAGTAGTAGTAGTAGTAGTAGTGGTGGTGGTAGCAGTAGTTGTAGTAGTAGTAGTAGTCGTAGTAGTAGTAGTAGTAGTAGTAGTAGTAGTAGTAGTAGTAGTAGTAGTAATTTTTGTAGTAGTAGAAGTAATAGTAGTAGTAATCGTAGTAGTACTAGTAGTAGTAGTAGTCGTAGGAGTAGTAGTAGTAGTAGTCGTCGTCGTAGCAGTCGTAGTAGAAGTTAGTAGTAGTAGTAGTAGTAGTAGTAGTAGTAGTAGTAGTAGTAGTAGTAGTGTTGTTGTTGTTGTATTCAGGCGCTACGAGTACTACTGCAACCACTACAACAACAACAACAACTACTACTACTACTACTACTACCATTACTATTATTACTACTACATCTACTACCACTAGTATTTATTTAGGAAGACAGCACGAATACTATGAGTACTAACCGTAGTAATCATTACAACCTCCTAATCTAGCCAGTCATGTGAGTAAGATAGTGCACAACGCTATTGAACATACGATTATTTGTAGTAGTATTACTAGTTTTTATCAAACGATCACTGATCATCAACATGGTGCGAGTGTTAATCATAATAGACAGAAGGCTCTTGCACAACCACGAGCTTTCGGACCTCCGCGCGGATTCCTTGGATTCGCGCTGAACGCCCCTGGCGGCGCCTCTGGTGCCGCCCTTTGCGCGCTCCGCTCGCCAGGGGGAAGGGTCCAGCGCAGATCTGTGAAATCCGCGCGGCCCTTCGCAAACTTGTGCTTATCCAGCCCGTGCTTCCTCTAATCCCCACGCCTTGGAAAAAGCCAGAGCATGGCCTTCTGCGCTCCGTTGCCCCACCCCCCTTGCCAGGTGGAAAGAGGAGACGCGCGTCCCTGGCCCCTCCACGGAGCTGGGGGTGAGGGCGACTGGCACCGTGTTCCGGTGGTTGGTTCGGAAGGCTCGCTCCGGGTCGGGGCCAGCTGCCATGAAGGAAGGCGGTCTTGAGGGAGACCAAGACTTCCGACTGTTTTCTGCAGTTCGTGTTTTTTTCCTCGAATTTGGCCTCGGAGCGTAGCTCTTCAAGCCCTGGGACAATCAAAACGCATCCGGGGCGAAGCATGGGCCCCAGGGAAAGGGTCGGGACCTCCCGCGACCGCACATTGAACACATGACATCGTCTGATGTTTGGGAGCGGGTCCTGGAGAGTCTTGGCCAGGGCTCCCAGGGGCCATTCCTGGTCCCTGGGCTGTCACACAACGGCTCAGGACGAGAAGCCGGACCCAGGGGGTTCAGGACCCGCTTCGCCCAGGTCCCCGCTCCTCCATGCCAGGCCGTGTGCAGAGAGAGGGATAGAGAGAGAGAGAGAGAGATGCACGGCGGGAGATTCTGGGGGGGCTCTTGGAGGAAGATTTGCGATTGGCGTTCGACCCATGCCCCTGCTGCTGCTCCCCACTTTGGGCGCCAGGTGCAGCAGGGTATGGATACAGCAACCTGGCCTCGGAGGCTAGGGTTTGATCCACATCTCAACTCTGGCCCCTCGTGGGGGTCGTGGCGTGAACATTGGCATGGATAACATTGCGATCGCTTAGAAAAGGAGGGAAGAGGGGAAGGGGCGTGCGAATCTTGACGCGGGCTCACTTCGCTCGTGCCTTTGCCGCCTGAGACCTTACCGCCCTCCTGGGCATCCCAGAAGGGCCTGAAGACTGCCCAGGACGCCCCCGAGACAGCCCAAGAGTGCCCCAAGGCTGTCCAAGCTGACCCCCCGACGGCTCTGGAAGCCTCACAGAGCACTCAAGATCGCCTCAAGAGGCCTCCAAGAGCCCCCAAAGAGCTCGGGGGAATCCCTCGAGAGGCCCAGATCATTGAAACATCCAGGGGACATACTTTTTTTTTTGTTTCTCGCACTTCCGCCTGCGACACGCTTCCGAGGCTTGCGCATGCCCCCCAACAGAGCTCCAGGGCCCCCCAAGAGGCGTCCCGAGCGGCCAGAAATGGCCCCAAGAGGACACAAGAGGTTCTCGTGACGCCCGAAGGGGCACCAACGAGGCCCCAAAGACGCTCCGAGGAGGCCCCGCCGAGCTCCCAGGATCCGCCCCAGAGGTACCCAGCGCCGAAGAGGGCCCCGAGAGGCCCTCAAGAGCTCCCAAGAGGCCCCCAGGAGAGCTCCAAGATGCCCACACGAGGCGTCCCGAGCGGTTCTTAGGGACATGCGCAAGCCTCGGAAGCGCATCGGAGGCGGAAATGCGAGAACACAACAATCACACAATTTCTTTAGAGCTCTTTGAGGACTCTTGGAGGCATCTTGAGGCGATCTTGGGTGCTCTTGGGGGCTTCCAGGGCCAATTTGAAAACAAAAAAATCTCAAGCCCTTTTTTACATGCTCGACCACCCCCTCCATTCCCTCCTGTTCCAGGCTTTGGCGTGACCCAGAATGCGTTTCCGCTTTCCCCATCCCTCGCTGTCCGTTCTCCTTGTTCTATTTCTTGCTCTTGGTTCTCCTCCATCTCCCGCTCCACATCTTGCTTCTTTCTCTCATCCTCCCTGCTCCCCGCCGCGCTGTTTTCCTTCCTCCCTCTCCTCGTCTCTCCTTCCCGCCTTCCTCTCTCCGCCTCCCTCATGTGTCTCCTCCATCCCTCATCCTCATCTCTCGTTCACCCCTTCCTCCCTCCCTCGCCCAGCATCCTTCTCCATTACCTGTCAGGAGACACAAATTGACAAAAAAGGGGAATCCCGCACATCCTTTGTTTTTCAAGGCCTACCCCCCCTTCGTTCCCTTCTGTCCCAGGCTTTGGCTTGCCCCCGAGTGCGATTCCGTTTTCCCCATCCCTCGTTGTCCGTTCTTCTTGATCTCTCTTTCTTGTTCTTGGTTCCTTTCCGTCTCCCGTTCCACATCCTTCTCCTTTCTCCCTCCCTCCTCCCCGCTGCCTCATTTTCTCTCTTCCTCGTCTCTCCTTCACGCCTTCCTCTCTTCCTCGTTCGATTCCGTCTCCCCCACCTTTCGCTGTTCGTTCTCCTCGATTTCTCCCTTGCCCTTGGTTTTCCTGCGTCTCCCGTTCTAGATTTTTTCCTTCCTCTCCCCCTCCCTCCTCCCCGCTGCATCCTTTTCCCTCTTCGCTCCTCCTCGTTTCTCCCTCACGCGTGGGTTTTCAATGATGTTGGCATTAGGAGGGCTTCCCCGGAGCTCCTGGTGGACTCTTGTCGGAAACTGGAACATATACTTTACTAGTGGCGGGCTGTTTTTCAGTCCCAGAACTTTTTGAGGATCGGGGGCGACGTCGGAGTGGTGTGGTGTATACCATTTTCCCCGTTTCCTGTGGAAACAACGAAACATGTATACACCAGGATCCCGTATACACCAGGATCCGCTGTCTTTTTTTGCGAATTTCAGTGCGGGGCCATAGAAGACGCCGGTGTATAGAGTCCGGTTCTTTATTTTGGTGGACTCTTGAGGCGATTTTGGGTGCATTTGCCTCCAGGGATAATTTGAAAAAAATTGGATTCCCTCAAATCCCTTTTTTTTCAAGCTCGACCACCCCCCTCCGTTTCCTCCTGTCCCAGGCTTTGGCGTGCCCCAGAGGGCGTTTCCGTTCCCCCCATCTTTCGCGGTCCGTTCTCTTTGTTCTCCTTCCTGTTCTTGGTTTTCCTCCGTCTCCTTTTCCACATCCCTCTCCTTCTTTTCGGAGCGACGCGTGTAGCGCCGAGTTCGGCTCCGAGTTTTGTCGCAATGGCGAGCCTAGACTGAGGCCCGATGACCCACACACCTGCTCTGGACGCGTTCCGGGCCTGGTATTTTCTTGTCTCTGAAGACCCCAAATGCCAAATTTGAGATTTTCTACAGTTGTTCCCCTTTTTCAATACTCGATTTGCGCGTTCTGCAGAGTCTGCGGCGGATCCCCAGCCAATCCTAGAGTTGTCCGCTCGCTGCGGGTTCTCCCCGACGTCGCTGATGCGGTAACGTGGCCGCGCCTGGAGAGCGCATTTTGTTCCCTTGCCTCCTGCTTGTCGAAACCTGTATCCTCGACCTCTGCCTTTTCCACTTGCTGTTTGTTTCCTTTTATCCGTGAGCCACCCCGCTCCGGATGCGCGCGCGGAGCTCCGCCAGTGCCACTGCGTGCAGAGATGCCCGCGCATTTAGATTCGGTCACAGGTTGCCGCGCGAGGCTTCCATGATTTGTTCATATTTCGGTTGAAGAAAAGCAACATACACATGAACTTTCGACGGTCCGTGTGGATTTCTTGGATTCGCGCGGGGTCCCCCTGGCGACGACTCAAGCGCCGCCCCTGGCGTGCCCCGTGCGCAGTTTATGCTTATGCCGTTATCCTTCCTCTATTTGGGGATCGGCGGCGAGCGATGGGGGGAAGTAAGAAGGAGGATGCCTTCTCAGAAGGCGGCGGGGCTTGACAGAAGCCCTTCGGCCTTCTGAGAAGTTTTCTGTGTCTTCGGGGAAGGCTCAGAAAACTTCGCAGAAGGCAAGAGGACTTCCGAGCCTTCTGAGATGGCCTGCCCCCTCTCCTTTCCCCCCGGCTGGCCGCCAAGGGTAGAATGCCTCTTTGGCGGAGGCAGGCGGGGCCCCCCTGAGTAGGCCATGGCCCCCCGATGACAGCAGGCAAAACACCGAGGCCGCTCGGCCTTGCTGAAACTGCCGGCTCGGACTAGCTGGGCGGCAGCCACGGCGGTCGCACCGTGACGACCGCATGCAGCTTCTAAGGAGGAAAAGGCACCGATACTGCTGGGAGGTTTCCAGGCGAGGTTTTCGGCCGTTTTCGGGGATTCTCGTTCGTTTTCCAGTGTCTGGGTGCTCTCCAGCAGCTGCGCCACGCCGAGAGCGTTCCGGGCGTGCCCGGATCGTCCCGAATGGCCGCCAGAGGCCCGAGCTCTGCCCCGAACACTACCAGTACTGATACCGCTTCCCTTGCCTCGTTTTCGCCTTTTTGAGCCTCCTGGGAGGCGCTCGTCGCCACGGCCGGATTCGCCTCGATTGTGGTTCGAACGCATCCAGGGAGAAGTCCAGGGAGTAGCGGTATCGGTACCTTTCGGTTTCCCTAAGGATGGGGGCCAGGACGGAGGCGGGACTAGGCCCAGCATGAGGACGTGCGGACGGGGATGGGGGGGGTGGGAAGCAGGACGATCTGCTTTGGCTCTACGCCCAACACGAATCTGAGTGAGGGACTTGCGGCTGCGGCCAGATGCGCTGCGGGCTTGCATGATCGGAGTGTCGATCGGAGTGTCGAATATTCCCATGATCGGACTGAATTCACCACGGCATCCTGTCTCAGATAATGGGTTTGATAATTGATGAGAAGGAGGTGCAGGAGAAGGAGGAGGAGTTTGCGGCGCAGGGCTACGGGTGGATCAAGCGCGACAGGAGCCCGGACAAGATATATTGCCACCATACCGAGATCCAGGCGGCCGCCTTGTCGCAGCTCTTTCCGTTGGGGTGCAGCTGAGTTCGCCGCAGTTGCTTGCAATTGCGACAGGGCAGTCTTGGCTTCGGCCTCCACGTGACAGTCAAAATCGGTATTGAGGATGATCATTTCAGGCCTGGGATCTCTCACATCCATGGGGTTTGGGCTTCTTGTACGTTCTCTGCCTCCTGTGCCCGATGATACCCTGGCCTCCTGGCGAGCTCTAGTCGCCCTGCATCCTTTTACTCCATCCTCTTGACTGCTGCTTTTGGCTGTGCATATCCCCTCCCCCCCGCACGGGTCAGGCCCCCTTTCATTGGCTCGTGGTTGCGCTCCGAGCGCGCATCGATTACCCCTCAGATAAAGCGATGTCTTGCTGCTGCGCCCAAAGATCAATTCTTAGCGCTCGGGTATCCCCACCAGCCCACCCAGGAACGTTGTCCAGAGGAGCTGCCCTTCTCGGGGGAGCGTTGCATCATTTGGAGAGCTCGGGGAGCCTCCGTGGGTCAGAGGCTTCCGGGATGCCTCTCGGAGTCGGATGTCTCTCGGGGTCTTGGAGGCTTCTTGGGGCCTCTTGGGTGTCTCCTAGCGGCTCTTCGAGGCCACTTAGGGCGCCTTGGGGGCCTCTTGGAGGCCTCTTGGGACGTCCTGGAGGCCTCTTGGCGGTCTTCAGAGCCTCTTGGGGCGTCTCGGCTGCTTCCTGGGGGCCTTTTTGGGCCTCGTTGGGGCCTCTTGGGGTCCTCTTTGGGTCTTTTGAGGGCTGCCTGGGAGCCTCTTAGGGGCCTCTTGGTACCTTCTTTTGGCTCTCCCATGCTGGAGGCCATCGATCAACGAAGAGTGTCTCATTTTGCATCGTGCCCCCGGCAGACAAACATGAGTCCAAGACCCAAGCTACATCATTGATGTTTGCCTTCTCGCCGATGCCTTTTTTCGGACGCTCTAACTACCCGACGCCCCCCCCCCCGTTCCAGCCCTAGGGGTCGGGGTAGGGGAGGGGTCAAGACACTCTCCCCGCCCGCAAGCCGTCTCGCTCACTCCCGCCCGCCCTCCCAACACATAAGTAGCACCCGAGCCGCAGCGGATTTTTTGAGAGGGATGGTGGGCGGGTGGGTGGGTGGGGGGGGCGGTGGCATGGGTCCTGGTTGGCTGCCGTTCGCCTGGGGGAGGGGTATTTATTCAGAGGGAAAAGTGATCAAGCTCCCCCACCGAAGGACGGCCGTCTCGCGCACTCCAGCCCGCCCTCCCGCCACATACGTAGCACGTGAGCCCCAGCATGGGCAGGGACTGCCACCGGCCATTATCTGGAACCAATGTAGCCAGGTGCCCGACGCCCGCGAGCTACGCCGCGCGTGCCAGGCCCCCCTCCATCATTCCTGTCCAATCACTGTGCAACATGATCGCGGGATTCCTGCGCATGATCGTTGTCGAAACGTGTATTTCGTATTCCTTTTTTGCGATAGTGGGCATGCGCGCAGCAGGCAATATGATGGCCCCCCCCCCCCCCTCTGTCCGTGTCAAAAACAATGACATGTAATCGCTTGCCAGCGCAACATCCAGATTTTGCTGCAACGTGCACTTTTATATTGCTTTTAGCAGGGGTGGTTGGGGGTTGTCTGCGTTGCACAGCAGACGTCTCTTTCAGAAACCCATGCGACGTGATCGCTGGGCGTCCGCGCATGATCCAGGTTTTGGTGCAACTTGCACCTTTGTATTGTTTTGGCAAGGGGTGGTCGGGTGTTTAGGCATATGCATTGTATACGACAGGCGCTATGCCGCTCCTCCCCGTCGTATTGCCAAAAAGCAATGCACAGTGATCGCGGTGCGTCCGCGCATGATCCAGATTTGTTGGCAACTTGTATTTCGTATTGTTTTTGATAGGGATGGTGGAGGAGGTCTGCTCATGGGTCTGTGTTGGCTGCTGGTCGGGTGCGGGAAGGGGTGCTTATGAACAGGGGGCAGTGATCGAGCTATCCCTCCCCAAGGCGCAAACTGTTTGGCTCACCCCCACCCGCCCTCCCAACACATAAGTTGCACTTGAATCCCTGCATTTTCAGCTGCCGTCTCTACATGGACAGCTACTGGGAACCAAAACAGACCCCAGGTGCGCCACGCCTGCCAGGCGCGCCACGCGTACCAGGCGCGGCAGGCGCCCCTCGGGCCCAAGCGTGCCAGGCACGCCTGATGCGCCAAATGCGTCACGTGCTTCACGTGCGCCAAGTGTGCCGCATGCTTCGACCGCGCCAGGTGCGCTACGTTCGGGGCACGCGCAGAGTGTGCCAGGTGCGCCCCCGCAGATCGGGAAACATCACGGCCCCCACCACCCTGGTCGAAAACCAGTACCAAGTCACGGCGGAGTGACCATCATGATGTCTGATGGGCCTGCGCACAGCACTCACCATGCCAGCACTTGACGCTTTGCGTATCCACACCTTTTTGCGTTCTGACCAGTTCCGGCACGAGTGCTTACACTTCCCTGGTTTCTGGTTGTCAGATGACCACATGGAGTAATGGCTCGCCGTTTCATTCAGGAGTGGTTCAGCCTTCTTGAGCGGCCTGGCGTGTCACCTGTCGGTTTGCTGCCATGTCCTCTGGCGCCCGGTGGCGACAAGGTCTAATTCGCGTGCCTGGCGATTCAGCTCCCATGGTACTCGCACGTTGCAGCATCCTGGCAGCCTCCGCAGCTGGCAGTCCTCACCCTCGGCGCAGCTCAGCCCTGGCGCGGCTGCTTCCCCCGGAGGTAGGTCTTGCCCTGCTCGGCGCGCGCGCCGGCAATTAGGTTGCTCGTAGCCCGGGCCAACTCTGCTGACGCTGTGGCGCCTTCGCCTGCGGCCGCGACGGAAAATAATCCACACCTTTTTAATTTTTAGGCCGGTGCTCGAGCGCATCGCTCTTGGACGCCGCCCGACTGTCTCGGTGCGGTCGCGATCAAAAAAGTATCCACGCCAGCCCATTCAGAGACAGGTCGCCAGGCGAGTTGCCTTGATCAGGGAAGTGTAGAAGCATGCAATGTAACAACCGCCTTGGAAGTGTTTTCTCGGAAGTCTCTTGGAGCCGTTTTGGGACTCTCGGGGCCTTCTTGCGGCTCTTTTGGGGTCTAGGGGCCCTCTTGGGGCCATCTTGGGCCCATGGCTCAAAACGAGGGGGGGTCCTCAATTCAGGCCGTCCCTCTCGGAGGCTCAAACATGATGTCTTGAGGCCCTCTTGGGGCCCTCTTGAGGCGCTCTTGGGCGCTCTTGGACCCTTCGTAGGATTCTATTAGAGATGGGCCCATCCAGAGAAAGAGGGAGAGAGAGAGAGAGAGAGAGAGAAAGAGAGAAAGAGAGAGAGAGAGAGAGAGAGAAAGAGAGTGTGGGAGAGAGAGAGAGAGAGAGAGAAACAAGAAAAGATATAATCCCCAAATCGTCCCACATTTCTCCTCCATGAGGGGGAAGAAGACGGGAAAGATGGGGTCCGAGATTAGCCTTGGGGCCCCCCCGGGCCCCTCTGGGGCGCCCAGGCGGCCCCGCGACGGCCCCGCGGCGGCCCCGCGTGCGCGCTGGCCTCCGCCAGAGGCCTGACGAGGAGGAGGTGGCAAGTTGAACCCCACCCTCTCTGAAGAACCGACGAAACAGGGGGAATGCTCGCGGCAGCATGTCACGGCCAGAGGATTCCTTGTGCCATGCGCTTCCGCCTTGACCCCTGGCAGGGGTCGTCAATTTCGGGCGGGGGTCGCACTCCAGGGGGGGCCCTTGGCAGGGAAGAGGAAGGCAAGAGGAGACGAGGAGGGAGGTCATGACCTCTAACCTCACAAGACAAACAAAAGACTTAAACTCCCCAAGGTCTCGAACAGCCTGACCTCCCGCCAGGCTTCGCGCTAAGGCCGCAGACGCTGGAGCCCAGGGAAAGTCCCCTCCGGGGGTAAAAGTTGACTTCGCGGGGCGCCCCCTTCTTTAAACACAGGCTCTCCCGTCCCACCATCTCTTCCCTGCGAAGCACGATGGATGATGAGCTCTGATTCTTGTCTGCCACATTGTGTCATTCAGAATCAGGCCTTGAGGCTCAGCCCCGACGCGAAACCTGGCTTGCGCATTTGATCCGAGTAAAGATCGGAGCCAATAGTCTCGGGAACTCTTTCTGTCGCCATTTTGACCCAAGACACCAGCAGCTCAGGCTCCAAGAAGATAGCATTTGCAGTCTTCACGCCATGAGCGAGGTGACCAGTGAGGCACCGCAGCCGCACTGTGTTGGCAATCCTTCGGGTTTGCCTGGTAACCTGCCGCTTGACCGAAACTTGCCCCCCCCATTTATTGTGAAGGGCTTACGGCTGGTGCCGCCGACCCTGAAGGCGGTCGGGAGCCTCGAGACGGGGGTCAATGCAAACGGGGGTCAGCCAGAGCGCTGGATCTTGCAGGATCCTGCAGGGACAGGGTCGCATTCACGATCTTGCAGGATCCTTCGCGCTGACCCCTGTTTGGGCGCGGGGTCTTGCAGGATCTGCAAGATTCTGCAAGGCCTGACTGACCCGGAACTGGATCAACCCGGGTCAGAAGGTGCCCGAGGCGGGACCTCCACGGGGACCTCCGCTGGCGCCACCCCCAACACCCCCCCGACCACAGGCGGGCTTCCCCCAGGACCCGTGCTGGCGACCTCCCCGGAGGGGGTGGTCCCTTTCGTCTCCCTTTCCACAGGGGGGACCCCCCCTGGCACCGCCAGGACCCCAGGGGGGGCGGTAATCTGACCCAGGACCCCCCCCGTACCTCCCCCCCTGCACCCACCCCAGTACCCCCCCCTGCCCCCCCTCCCGTACCCCCACCCCCCGTCGGGGAGGGGAAGGAGGGGATCGACTTATCACGGTGTTTCTTTTCTCTCTTCGTTCCTTGTTCTTTTGGGACTGGCGACGACGACGCCGACGACGACGACGACGACGAAGGCGACGACAGCGTCTCACACACGCCGAAGGGTCGGCGGATTTTCGCATACCACGTCAGCTAGGAGCTGGACGTTGCGGTGTTCGTGTGTGTGTGTGTGTTTTGTCGGCATCGCTGCCTACATACTCTCGTTTGCGATCAGCGTCACCTTCGGACATGCATGCGTCTACGACGAGGAGTCGCGCAGCCTGCAGCCTCACCGGGGAGGGGAGGCCCCCCCCTCCCGCTGAGGGCAGAGAGCCGAGGCGGCTGGGGCGCAAGACAAGCGGTGTTTTGGCGAGGTCGTGGGCCGCGTTCGTTGCGGTTTCGTTCTGCAGACAGGCGGAGCAAACCTCGGGCACGACGGACACCGGGCCCCAAGGGACCCCAAGGGGCCCCCAACCACCCAGGGGTCCTTCGAGGGGCTTCCAAACCCACAGGGCACCGAAGGGGCCCCAAGGGCGCCCCCAGGGCCCCCCCAAGCATCCTCGTTCTGTGGGCCGCACGAGGAAAAACGAGAACCAAGCGAGCAGGGAGAGCACTGTTTGCAGCTCGCGCCCTGCGCAGAGGCCCAGCGGCCCAGCGGCCCCGAGAGTGCGGCGCCAGCGCCCCGCCGGCAGGCGCGGCAGAGCTCGCTCCGCGAGGGCGACCGCGTCGAGTTCGTGCCGGTCCTCGACCCGATGCGCGCCGCCGCCGCCGCGGGTCGCGCGCGGAGAGCGGCCCTAATCTTCACAATCGTACATGACAAGTTTCGGCTACGCGTAGGAGTGACCACTCGCCGCAGTGACGTTGGTGCGGGCCCACCGGGACCCCCCCAGCATTGGCCTGCGCGCTTGGATTTGGCCGCCCCGCGGCCCCCTGAATCCGCGCACCAGATGTCACTCTTGCCTAGGGTCACACTTGCGAGTAACTGGGAAAGCTTCTCTCCTCTCTCCCCTGGCTCTGTCCGGAAGATGTACGGCCCGCTCCGCATATTCTTTTGCAGACGCAGTTATGATGCAATCTGGTCGTTTTCGGTGTCCCCCCAAATGGTGCTGAATCTGCAGCGTTGGCCTCATTGAAGGATCGGCGCTTTGCTCCCGTCGTTCAGAATGGCACTCTCGGAAAAGCGCAGGCCACTTCGTTGGATTCGAGTCCTTCCTCATCGCTGTCGCTCCCTTCCCTTCCTCTTCTCAGCCTTTCCATGGTCACCCTGCTCCACTCGCTCCTTCCACTCCAGTTACCGCGCTGCGGCTGTTCGTCCTCGTCCTCGTCCTCGTCCTCGTAGTTCCTCCCTGTCGCACCCGGAGGCCGGCCGAAAGGGCCAGCTGGGCGTTTCGCTCGAGATTTCCTTAGGTTTGTAATAGTTTCACGGTCCGAGGGCGGCCCGTGTTTTCACAATGTGGCTCTCGCCTTAGTGCCGCGCACATCCGTTTTCAATAACCTGCAAGAGTTCCACGTCTTGAAGACAGGTTGTTTTCAAGATGTGGCTCTCGCCTTAGCGTCTCGCGCATCTGTCTTGACAGACTGTGCAGGAGCTTCATGGATTGAGGACAGGTGGTTTTCAAGATGTGGTTCTCGCCTTAGCGCCGCGCACATCTGTCTTAAGATACTGTGCAGGAACTTTACGGATGGAGGGCGGGTCCTTTTCAAAATATGGTCATCGCCTTCATAGCAAATTGCGACAACTTCACGGATGGAGGGCGGGTCGTTTTCAAAATGTGGTTCTCGCCTTAGTGTTTTGCACGTTCGTCAAAATTCAAAGGCGGGCCGTTTTCAAAGTGTGGCTCTTTTTCACACGTTCGTTCAAAAGTGTACAACCTTTTCGAGAATTCTCATGGTTAACGTCCCAGGAGTGGTGTGTTTGCATGATGTTTGTTTGTCAGGGCGCAACAGTTACATTACTTCGTGGTGTTGCAGTCCCACGACATGCTGTTTTGGCACGACTCAGGATCGTCAAGACGCAGCAATCACGGTGATTCGCGACGTTGAAGTCCAAGTAATGGTGTTCTGGCATAGTTCATGATTTTCAAACGATTATTTCCAACGGGTTTACTCGGAAAGCGAGTCCTTGCACGGTCCTGGGAACAGGAAGCTGGGGGGGGGGAATTTATTGGAATATCGTTGATGAGTTTTGTGTTCACACTGGTCCTCCTTCTCCTCTTCCGTCGTCCACCCCCACCTCCTTCCACTCTTCTCCCCTCCTGCCTCTTCGCCGGCGCCAGCGACCCCTCGCGCGGCCTCTACGCGACGAACGTGACCGGCGCCGACGGTGCCCAGTTGCAGCGGGGCTACTACAACGACGAGAGGGCACCAGGGGGGATGAGGGGGGAGGGAGTCGGCAAGCCGAGGGGAGGGGGAGGGGGAGGAGGAGGAGGAGGAGGAGGAGGAGGAGGAGGAGGAGGAGGAGGAGGAGGAGGAGGAGGAGGAGGAGGAGGAGGAGGAGGAGGAGCCGTCTGCCCGCTCGGGGTGGGACGGCCGCGCGCGCTGGCCCACGCGCGGGCGGCGGCAGCGAGGCCCGCCATAGAGACCGCGCGGGGGGGAGGACTTCGCCACATCCCCCGCCGCGGCGGCGGTCTCTGGTGCCAGCTGCCCGCGGCGGGTTGCTGCCTGGCGGCGCTGCCCGCCCTGAGGGTTCTGAGTGCACGAACAACAAGGCCCTGCAGGAGAAACTCTACGAGAGAAACAAGGCCAGGGTGATCGAGTACGTGTCGATGCTCGACAAGGTCCCATCGGCGATGGGACCTTGTCGATCAGCGATGGGCCATCGCTGATTGACAAGAAGCAGTCCGAGAATCTGAAGAGCCTGCTGACCACCAAGCTCTACAGTCTCCGCGAAGGCATGGAGTACGTGACCATCAAGGGCACGCCGTTCTACCGCAAGAGCGACGCGGCGGGCATGAAGGAGGCCGACGTCGTCTTCCAGGACCTGGCCGACCTCGGCGTGGCGGGCAGGGAGAGGAACTGGGGCTGGGCGACCGAGTCGTACGAGAAGTCCGAGGGCGATTTCCAGGCGTGGATGAACGTGGTGGGGCTCTGAGCCTCCCTGGCAGGATGACGGCCGCCTTTCTTCGGGCCTCGTGCCGGGCGCGCCGCGGGCGGCAGGTGGCGTTGGTGGTGCCCCGAGCGGGCAGCCGACATGGTTTTTGCTCCCAGTGCCCGGCACCTCGAGACGCGCAGGAGGGCAAACGTGGGAGCTTCGCCCCATCCCCTCCTGGCGCAGGGAGGAGCATGAGGCGGAAGAGGAGGAGGAGGAGGAGGAGGAGGAGGAGGAGGAGGAGGAGGAAGAGGAGGAGGAGTTGGAGGTGCAAAAGGCTCTCGACTTTTCCATTTTTGGTCCAGCCTTCCGTGCGGTGCCGCAGCTACGGGCGCCGCAGCTAGGTGGCCGGTGTCGGCCGCTCATGGAGGAAGCGGAGGTGGTGTTGGAGGTGGCGGTGGTGTGGAGGTGTTGGGAAGCCCGCCCCACTGCATCCCCCCTGTGTCCGCCCCTGGAGTGGGCACGTATCCGACGGCTCGGGCATCGGTAGGTGCAAATACGGGGGTGCTGCAAGGGGGTGAGGGCGGCATGGGCGCGAGCACGCCGACTTCGCCAGCCGCTGCCGTACCTGGCTGTCAGTCGTGCTCGCTTGGACTTCCTTTCGGTTGCTATCTTCCCTGTTCCGCCCTCTTGTTGTCCATCCTGTCCTTTAGCGCAGTGTTTGAAGGAGGCCATGGAAATGGAGGCGATGAGGAGGTGGAGCAGGCGGTGGGGAAGGAAACCGTGGGACCGTGGGCCCATGCTCGACCGTGCACGCGGCCGAGCGTTTCAGCCTGACTGCCAGAATGGCATCAACAGGAGGCTGGCGAGGCAGCGACAGATCATCGTGGGCACTAGGGTCTTACGGTTGAGCTGCCTCGGATCGTTTCTGGCCCTGGAGGGGCTCGGTGGCAGGCGTGGACGCCGCAGTCTCCCCCTCGAGCTCTGTCCTATTCATCTTCACCATCTGCCACTGTCCTATCTTTCCTTGTCCCTCTCGTTTATGCTGCACTGTCCGTGGAGATGCTGTCTTGTGGAGGGAGGTTGGTTGCGGGGTCTCTCGTCTTGCATCCGCCTTCCCTTGAACGAGCTCTTGGTGGCGACTGTCGCCATGCCGCCGAGAGCTCCTGCTGTCATGTGCAAGGCACGCCTTTTCTTGCTCTTGTGGCTGCTGCTGCTGTAGCGGCCGCCCCTGGCGCTTTGGGCCCTTGAGACCCAACAGCTTGCCGAAGACAAGGAGGATGAGAGGGCGTAGCCTTATGGTCCAGATGACGAGGAGAAGGAGGCTGAGGAGGAGGATGAGGCGGAGGAGGAGGAGGAGCAGGAGGACGGATGCCAGGCCTCCGTGACGACATACGGCCCCAGTGGGTGTGTTTACCAGCCGTCGCCGCGATCCCTCGCGTGGCTCTGGCCCAAATAGGAGCCCTCGTTGCAGTCCCATCGGTTGTTTCCGCATGCCGTTGCGGCGTTCATGTCGACACGCCCATCATTCCGTTCGCGCCCAGCCATATTGAGCCCCAGCCGCAGTGTTTGTGGGCGTGCCCGCATTCGGTACACTCGCACGCGATGCCCTTTCCGTTGCCCTTCTAGCCGTGCCCCTCCCTCGTCGCCAAACCTGTTCCTTCTCGCCATACAAGATAGAACCGACGCTCCTTGCTTCAGCACTTCCCCAGGCCCTTCTCTGCCGCGGATCGCAAGATGCAAGGATAGAGACGCTCCTGACGAGACATATAGTTGCACAGGGATGGTTCACCATTCCTTGGGCCAGAGCAGTACATTCTGGTTTGTTATGTGATGTTCCAGGCGGAGGTTGAGGATGTTTCCCCTTACCTCTCACCTCTTATGCTATCTCTCACCTCTTATGCTATCTCGCCTGTCTTTACTCCTTTCCTTCAGTCTCCATGGCCCCCGTGCCACCTTACCCCTTCGACAGGGAGAGAGAGAGAGAGAGAGAGAAAGAGAGAGAGAGAGAAATCACCGACACAAATGTACATTTTTATATATGATATATCTTTATATCTCTCTCTCTATACATGCATGTATGTATGTATGTATGTATGTATGTATGTATGTAATGTAATGTAATGTAATGTAATGTAATGTAATGTAATGTAATGTAATGTAATGTAATGTAATGTAATGTAATGTAATGCAATGTAATGTAATGTAATGTAATGTAATGTAATGTAATGTAATGTAATGTAATGTAATGTAATGTAATGTAATGTAATGTAATGTAATGTATGTATGTATGTGTATGTGCATGTGTATGTGTATGTGTATGTGTATGTGTATGTGTATGTGTATGTGTATGTGTATGTGTATGTGTATGTATGTATGTGTGTGTGTGTGTATGTATGTATGTATGTATGTATGTATGTACGTATGTATGTACGTATGTATGTATGTATGTATGTATGTATGTATGTATGTATGTATGTATGTATGTATGTATGTATTATTATTATATATCGAAAGAGAGGGATAGAGATAGCTATAAGTAGATACACACATAAAGAGGAAAATAGAAATAGAGAGAGAGAGAGAGAGAGCACGAGAGAAAGAGAGAGAGAGAGAGAGAGGACGGCAGGAAGCGGGAGGGCGCTGCAAAGGTGGAGGAGGAGGAGGAAAAGGAGGACGAGGGAGGATGAGGATGATGAGAAGCAGCAGTAGCAAGGATGTGGAATCGGAGGAGAAAGAGGGCCAGCGGAAACCCCAGTATCAACGATGCAATACTCACCGAGCGCGTTCCTCAGGCCATTTGCGAGTAGTTATAGAATCGCTTCGCTTATTCCGATGGCCCGCATCATGCCATCGTTTGCGGTTGGGTGATCGGGACGTAGCTGAAATATGCAGTTGTCTTCGGCGTATCCCGCCAGTTTGGCCTATGTAGGACCTCTGGGATGCAGGTTTGAAGCTTCAAGAAGCGTCTAGGAGGTACTTGCTTTTGAACCTCTGGGAGCCTTTTGGGGCCCTCTGCAGGCCTTTTGGAACAAGTTTTCTAGTTCCTTGGAGCGTCTTGTGGCGTCTGTGGGGCTTCTTCGAAGCCTCCTCGGGGCATCTTTTGGGTCTTTGGTGGCCTCTTGGAGGGCCTCTTGGAGGCCTTTGGCGGCGTTTTGGGTGCCTCTGGGGCCTCTTTGGACACTCTTGGGGAGGCGGAGGTAGTTGATTGCGGCTCCCCCCTCCGAGGCCACGATCCTCGTGAGGGGTGTCGAAAATTGCCCTCTCCTGGACTGCTCTGGGGGACCTGATGGGGACCTGACCGGGACCTGGCCGGGGTACTTTTCGTCCAGGGGCCCCCAGGGGCCGCCCTGCGCGCGCGAACTAGAAATATTGTTAACCAGTTATCGGAGATCTTAGCACGCGTCTGGCCCGTTGGGCCGGCGAATTTTGCGAGTAGTGGAACGCGCTTGTCTAGATACAACCTCCCAGTTCAGGCTCTCCCTCGGAAGGCCTTGCGAGCATGCTCTCGCAGTGCGAGAAGCCCAGGCGAAAGTCGGGATTCCGTGGGCTTGCAGTTCGGGCGGGAGCTCCAGGACAAGGACTTGCCCTCCATTCTTCGAGATACAAGACTCGCGACAAGGAGGGAACACACTTTTTTTTACGTCGCAGCGCGGCAGACGCAGTCCGCACGCGCGCTGAAGCGGGCCGCGAGGCGGCAGGCGCGAATTGTCCGGCAGCAAGGGGGAGTGAGAAGGGCGACGGGCGGGCGGCCGCGGGGAGGAAAGGGGGGTGAGCGGAGGGCATTCACAGGGCGAGGTGTATCGCCTTCGAGAGGCTGGGGCGGCCAGCCAGAGCTCCATCATCCTGGCAGTGGGCGTGGTGCGACATCACGGCCACACCAAGGGGCTGAAGCGAAGGCTGCAGTACTCGAAGTGCAGGATGCACCAGTGCAGGAAGAGGGCGCGCAGGTTCACGACGGGAGGATGTTGCCGAGCGCGATACCGGCGAGGTGGGAACAGTTCCACGACATGTCCAGTGACAGCCCGCCTCCCCGCTCGCTTTGAGAATGAACCGCCCTCCATCCGATGGTGACGTCTGGGCGGGAACTCTGAAGAGCTCTCAGGCGGAACCTCTACTTTGAATATGAAACGCCCGCCACCCGCGCCACTGCTGCACAAGCACTGAGTGAGCCACGCTGCGTCGTCGCACTGTGGCGGCAAAGGCTCGGCGACGCAAGCTATTTGGTGTAAGCTTTGTCGTGTAAGATCTGTGGTGTAAAGCTATGGAGCTGCGCACTCTGCGGTTTAAGCTGTACGGGCGGCAACGGGCCAGCAACGAGCGGCAACAGGCGGCCACGGGGCGGGAACGAGGCGGACCCTCGATGCACCCACGCAAGCGGCAACGGCCGGCCGGCGACGGGTGGCAACGGGTGGAAATGGGTCGGAACGAGGCGAATCTTTGACGCACCCACCCGATTATCTTGGAGCAGCAGTTAGCACACCCAAGAGCAGACAGTGATTGGGGAAGCAGGGAACGCTGAGTGCAAACACTGTTGGTAGAGCGATGCGTTTTGTGATAGGTATGTGGCGGCGGCGGGCGGCAACTGAGGAGGAGGAGGAGGGAGGAGGAGGAGGAGAAGGAGGAGGAGGAGGAGGAGGAGGTCCAATGGAGGCAGGGAGACAGCAGGAAAAGAGGGATGGGGGGCGGGGGGGGAGGTCCAACACGATGGAGGGAAACGCGGGAGGCGAGTGAGGGGAGGCCCCATGGGGGGAGGCAGGCGATGGAGGGAAAGGAGAGGCATGGGTCGGGGGGCGGAGGACGCGGGAGGACGGACGGGGGGGGGCATCGCGTGGCAGGCGAGGGCGGGGGGCGCGGGAGCCCTCTCCTCCGCGCCAGGCCGGCTGGTGGCGAGAGAAAGAGCAGGGCATGCTCCGGGCGCCGCCCGCCCCGGCCGCTGCCGCCGGCCAGGCACACCGTTGGGGGTCCCAGGATCGGTGCGATCGTAATCGGTGCGGAAAGAACTCAGGAGGGAGAGAGCACACAGACACAATCAATCGTCGATCGCCAGGAAAACATGGGAAACTATAGCAATTGGGGGGTGAGACCAAAGTCCATCAAATATAGATTTGTGTGTCCTTGGGCTCCTTCCAGAATGGGCACGGAGGCCGACATTGGCTCCTCTTGATTTTGAACAGGATTCGCTGTCGGTGCCGCCGCGGACCTTGTCCATTTGAAGCAGAAGGCTGCCTAACCAACAGCGGCCGCTGTTGGTTCTGGGCAGCATGTGTTGTTGGGCATCGTGCCCATTTTCTCCGTACCCACTTCGGGCGTCCGAACAGGAGGGAGCGGTGGCAGGCCGTGCAATGATCTCGGGATGCCCCGAGACCTCACCGCACGACACGGTCCGGGGACCCCGGAGGCCCCCGTCGCCCGAGACATCTTCGAAGAGCGACCCGAGTTCCCACTGACTCACCACGGTGTGGCCACCGCGCCGAGCGGGGGCCCCCGAGCGCGAGAGCGCCAGGCCACGCCACTCCATGGCTGGGCCAGGACCTCTCGCGTCCCTTTGGATGGGAGCAATGAGGCAGATCTCAGGAGGGGAAAGAACACACCGACACAACTAATCGTCGATTCCCCGGAAGTTATGGGAAATATGAGAGTGGGGGGGAAGACGAACATCCATGAACATGAACAATATGGAACATCATTTTATTTTGTTGCTGTCGTTGTTGTTGCTGTTGCTGTTGATGTTGCTGTTGATGTTGCTGTTGATGTTGTGGTTGTGGTTGTTGTTGTTGTTGTTGTTGTTGTTGTGATTGTTGTTGTTGTTGCTGTTGGTGTTGGTGTTGGTGTTGGTGTTAATGTTGTTGTTGTTGTTATTATTGTTGTTGTTGTTGTTGTTGTTGTTGTCGTTGTTTTTGTTTTTGTTGTTGTTGTTGTTGTTGTTGCTGTTGGTGTTGGTGTTAATGTTGTTGTTGTTGTTGTTGTTGTTGTTGTTGTTGTTGTTGTTGTTGTTGTTGTTGAATTCTCATTTCTGAAGAATAAGTATTGTTGATCCCCCCCACTGGTGCATATTGTTTTTCTTAATCAAAGTGTGCCCTATCGACGCTCGCACCCTGTTTTTTGACAGGGAAGGTCTTCCCGCTCAAACTAGGCCCCTGGCCCCCGGGTTACAACAACAACGGCTCCCGCCTGAGACTTCCTTACAATTTAGCCAGGACCCCCGCTCCCGCCCGAGACCTCCTTGCATTTTATTCAGGAATCGCGCTCTCGCTTGGGACTTCCTTACAATTAATTCAAGAATCGCTCTCCCGGCGCTCTGGAGTCGCGCTCTTGCTGGAGACTTGCTTGCAATTTACTGAAGAATGGCCTTGCGTGGGAATTTCTTGCAATTTGCCCAAGCGCCGCGCTCCCGACACCCAGGCACCCAGGAGTCGCGCCCGTTGTGGCCCCATGTGCATGCCCTTCGTGGCCCCGCTGTCGCCATTTGTGTCCCCCTCACTGTCCTACGTGGCCCAGTTGCTACCCTCAGTGGCCGCATAGTTGCTTTCTGTGGCCCCGCATTATCTGCACTTCGTGGCCGCCGCTCGTTCGCGCTCTTCGTGGCCCCATACGCATTCCCTTCATGTCCCCGCTGTCGCCCTTCGTGGCCCACTTCGTGCCCTTCGTGGCCCTGCTGTCGTTCTCTCTCGCTCTCGCTTTCGCTCGTCGTCGCCGTCGTCGTCGTCGTCGCCGTCGTCTTCGACGTCAACGTCGTCGTCGTCGTCGCGGTCGGTCCCCTGTCCGTCCCTCTTGGGGTCGGGTCGATGGTCCGCGGCCGCCCCGCCGATCAGCGCTGCCGCTGGCCAGGCCGACGGTCCGCGGCCGCCCCGCCGCTTGCCGGGGCCCGGCCTGCACGGAAGAAAGGTATACCCCTTAAAAGGGGTTCGATCGAAGACGAAGAGGGCGGGTATCGAGGGTTTGGGAAATACGCGTTATTGGACACTCGAGCAGATAAGGGCGAACAGTCTTAACATTATGTGTTGCTGTTGCTGTTGCTGTTGCTGTTGCTGTTGCTGTTGCTGTTGCTGTTGCTGTTGCTGTTGTGTTGTTGTTGTTGTTGTTGTTGTTGTTGTTGTTGTTGTTGTTGTTGTTGTTGTTGTTGTTGTTGTTGTTGTTGTGGTTGTGGTTGTGGTTGTTGTTGTTGTTGTTGTTGTTGTTGTTGTTGTTGTTGTTGTTGTTGTTGTTGTTGTTGTTGTTGTTGTGCGTGTCCCTAGGCTCATTGAATATCCTTAGGGAGGACGGCCAATGGATGGGAGACATGTAGCCGAACAACTTCTAGACGCTTCGCGCATCCCCACCAGCCCGTCCAGAACTGAGTCCCAGGGGAGTGGAGGTCATGAGGGAAGCGGGGGAGCATGCAGAAGAACAAAGGGCGGGGTGAGCCGCCAAATACCCCTAAGAGGTGGAGGATGTAGGAGGAGTCGTCGTCGTCGTCGGAGTAGGAGGAGGAAGGGGAGGAGCAGGAGGAGGAGCAGGAGGAGGAGGGGGAGGAGGAGGAGGAGGAAGATGAGGAGGAGGAGATGGAGGAGCGCGAGGACGTGGAGGACCAGAGGAGAAGACGGAGAAGAAGGAGGAGGAGGAGGAGGAGGGGGAGGAGGAGGAGGAGGAGGAGGAGGAGAGGGAGGGGGAGGAGGGAGGAGGAAGAAAAAGAGGAGGAGGAGGAGGAGGAGGGAGGAGGGAGGAGGAGGAGGAGGAGGAGGAGGAGGAGGAGGAGGACAATGGCGAGCTTGGGGGCCTCTTGGGCCGTCTTTGGGGCCTCTTGGCGGTCCTGGGGGCCTCTTGCGTATCTCGGGGAGCCTCTTGGGGCCTCTTGGGGGTCTCTTGGGAGCCTCTTGGAGACCTCTTGGGCGCCTCTTGGGGCCTCTTGGGGCCCTCTTGGGGCCCTCTTGGGGCGCTCTTGGGAGCCTTCGGGGCGCTCTTGGGGCCATGTTGGATGAGATCTATCAAAGAAGGGGGGGGGTCGTATATTTGCCTTGCCCTTCTAGAGTGCCTCGAATCGCTTCTTGGGCCCCTCGTGAGGCGATCTTGGAGCGCTCTTGGGCGCTCTTGGGGCCGTCTTGGGCCTTCTTGGGCCTCTCTTGGGGCCCTCTTGGGCAATCTTGGAGCCATCTTGAGGCCTGTGAAGGCCATCGGAAGCGAAAAAGCGAGCAAGCCAAACACATTGATTCTCCTTAGGTTTTGGCATGATTTTGGCCTCTCGGGGAGCTCCGTGGGGAACTCTTTGGCCACTTGGGGCCGTCTTGGTGCGGTCTTTAGGCCTCTTGGAGCATCTTGGGATCCATCTTGAGGCATCTTGCGCTATCTTGAGCCATCTTGGAGGCTATCTTGGGCTCTGAGGCCCTGTTGGAGCCGTCTTGGGCCATCTTGGACGCCCCAACGACCCGCGGAACCCTCCGTCCAGGTCCAGGGGAGGGGGTTTGGGGAGGGGTAAATCCCTCCCCGAAGGGGAAGAAGGGGGTTGGAAGAGGAAACTCTCTAGACCACCGACGCCCAGAGGGCTGGTGGGATTCCAGGTGTTTCAAATATGTTTGACACACGTTTCAGGCCTGTACGCGCCTTGTTTGGAACATTGTAAAAGACAGGTCTGGAGCATCGTGAACACATGTCGAATTCAATGGTGGTACTGTGATAGTGCCCGTTGCCATGGTATGCCCAAACACATCCGCTACCGAGGACCTCTTCGCGTCCCGAGGATGGGAGCGAAGAGGCATATCCGCTGCCGACAGCCCCCCCCTTGTTGGCGGCGAGCACAAGGGGGTGGGGGAGGGGGGAAGGCTCCTTAGAAGGAGGCTGCTGCTCAGGAGGCGCGGCCAAGGGGGTGGGGGAGGGGGAAGGCTTCTTGGAAGGAGGCTGCTTCTCAGAAGGCGCGGGCCTTACATCTACAGGCAAGGCCCGCCGCTTCTAAGCAGCAGGGGTGCGGGGCCTCCCGTGGAGCCCTCGGCGCCTCGGCTGGATCCGCCTCGGAGCCCCGGCCAGGGCGCGCCCCGGGAGAGGGAGTTGCGGGGAGCAGCGGCATCGGTGCCTTCTTCACGGCCCGTGTGGAGGGCCGCAGCCGGCGTCTCCGAGCTCGGGCCTCGGGAGGGCCGCTGCGAGCCGCGGCGCCATCGCCAGGCAGCTCACGGCACGACATCTGAGCGTCGGCGGAGGCGAACAAACAAGCAAAAGGTGGATAGCCCAGGGGCGGGCACTTGCACGCGCAGCGAAGCCAGGGACCGCTTGGGGCTCAGGCAGGGCCGGATAGGTCTGGGAACCGGTTCGTGGCCGAGGCCTGCCGTGTCCAGAAGGGCCCCTTCGTTCCTTGCGCAGCGGTCCCTATGGTAGTGCGGTGGTCATACTTCCCAGGGGGCCCCATCGAAGGCGTGCTGGATGTTCTGCCCCTCGGCGCGTTCCCACTTGCGGGCTGGAGTTCCCTGGAACCTTCGGTGTGCAGCCAGCTGCAGTGGCATGGCCTTCTGGACCCGCGGGAGGCAGTCGTTTTCGTTCAGCAGGGAGCGCTTGAATTCACGAGCGGCGAATATATCCAGATCCACGCCCACGTCCGCAGAAAGCAATACTGTTGGTGTTGGAACGACAGTGTGCGATGTGGTGCTGCCGGCTCGCTTATTGTACGCTACCCCCTATGTTGGGAATAGCGTGCACCGAAGACGCCCTGGCAGGGGGGTGACGTGCACAGAAGGGGCCTTTGCTGGGGGATCGCCTCACAGGGATAGCGTGCTTTTCGGAGATCGATGTTGCACGCTGTGTTTCCAACGCCAACCGTGTACAGGTCCCAGAGGGAGCTCTCGAGTGATGAGGAGGGAGGGACAGAGGGTATCCCCTCCTCGACGCTGTTTCTCCCAACCCTCCTGCGTTGGGTTCTCGTTTTGAATAGAGCACTGCTCGCGCGTCTCCTTTCTTCCTTCCCGCCCCTCTCTTCCCCCTTGCCTTTTGCCTCGCTCGTCGCTGCGTGCCAGCTGGGGGGCTGCGATCTGTGAAACTGTCGCCACTTTCGAGGCCTGCTGGGGGGCCCAGCACAGTGGGTACTCACCGCAGACTCAAATGGGACCTCGCCATCCCTGGGGGGCTGCGATCTGTGAAACTGTCGCCACTTTCGAGGGCTGCTGGGGGGCCCAGCACAGTGGGTACTCACCGCGGACTCAAATGGGACCTCGCCATCCCTGGGGGGCTGCGATCTGTGAAACTGTCGCCACTTTCGAGGGCCTGCTGGGGGGCCCAGCACAGTGGGTACTCACCGCGGACTCAAATGGGACCTCGCCATCCCTGGGGGGCTGCGATCTGTGAAACTGTCGCCACTTTCGAGGCCTGCTGGGGGGCCCAGCACAGTGGGTACTCACCGCAGATTCAAATTAGACCTCGCCATCCCTGGGGGGCTGCGATCTGTGAAACTGTCGCCACTTTCGAGGCCTGCTGGGGGGCCCAGCACAGTGGGTACCACCGCGGACTCAAATAGACCTCGCCATCCCTGGGGGGCTGCGATCTGTGAAACTGTCGCCACTTTCGAGGCCTGCTGGGGGCCCAGCACAGTGGGTACTCACCGCGGACTCAAATGGGACCTCGCCATCCCTGGGGGGCTGCGATCTGTGAAACTGTCGCCACTTTCGAGGCCTGCTGGGGGGCCCAGCACAGTGGGTACCCACGGCGGACTCAAATGGGACCTCGCCATCCTGGGGGGCTGCGATCTGTGAAACTGTCGCCACTTTCGAGGGCTGCTGAGGGGCCCAGCACAGTGGGTACTCACCGCAGACTCAAATGGGACCTCGCCATCCCTGGGGGGCTGCGATCTGTGAAACTGTCGCCACTTTCGAGGCCTGCTGAGGGGCCAGCACAGTGGGTACTCACCGCAGACTCAAATGGGACCTCGCCATCCCTGGGGGGCTGCGATCTGTGAAACTGTCGCCACTTTCGAGGCCTGCTGGGGGGTCCAGCTGTCGCCAGACAAATTAGACCTCGCCATCCCGAGCGATCCTGCTGGGGGGCCCAGCACAGTGGGTACTCACCGCAGACTCAAATGGGACCTCGCCATCCTTGGGGGGCTGCGATCTGTGAAACTGTCGCCACTTTCGAGGCCTGCTGGGGGGCCCAGCACAGTGACGCCACACGCAGACTCAAATGGGACCTCGCCATCCCTGGGGGGCTGCGATCTGTGAAACTGTCGCCACTTTCGAGGCCTGCTTTCGGGGCCCAGCACAGTGACGCCTCCCAAGTAGCTTACACATCAAGTTGATTGTCCATACAAGTTTCGGCCAACTCCTCGTTTCCATTGATACAAATGGGTTGGGTACATCACAGGGTAATTTGTTTGTATTGTGAAGGCCTTACGGCCGGTGCCGCCGACCCTGAAGTCTTTGGCCGTCGATGGCGACGGGATGTGTGATCACAGAAAAAACTAAAGGACAACGTGACAGGGTAGGCGGAGGAAGTGTGTGAGGAGGAGGAGGAGGAGGAGGAGGAGGAGGAGGAGGAGAAGGGAGGAGGAGGAGGAGGAGGAGGAGGAGGAGGGACGACGAGGAGGAGGGGAGGAGAGGAGGAGGAGGAGGAGGAGGAGGAGGAGGAGGAGGAGGAGGAGGCGGAGGCGGCGGAGGAGGACGAGGAGGAGGAGGAGGAGGAGGAGGGAGGAGAGGAGGAGGAGGAGGAGGAGGAGGAGGAGGAGGAGGAGGAGGAGGAGGAGGAGGAGGAGGAGGAGAGGAGGAGGAGGAGGAGGAGGAGGAGGCGGGGAGGAGGAGGAGGAGGAGGAGGAGGAGGAGGAGGAGGGGGAGACAAATGAAAAGGAGATGGAGAAGGTGGCAAAAGACGCTCAGGAGGAGGAGGAGGGAGGTGGCATTCTGACCCGGGACACCCCTCAGGACCCCCCCTGGGACCCCCGCCGGGCCCCCCCCCAGGACCCCCCCTGGGACCCCCGCCGGGACACCCCCCAGGACCCCCCCCGGGGCTTCCCCCGGGACCCCCAAGGAGGAGGGAGGTGGTATTCTGACCCGGGACCCCCCCCCAGGATCCCCCCCAGGACCCCCCCGGGACCCCCCCTGGGCTTCCCCCGGGACCCCCCCCCCCTTGGCCGGGGAAGGGAACAAAGGGAAAGGGAAACCCTTCGAGTCAATTTACTTTACGCAGGAGGAAGAGATGAGGAGGAGGAGGAGGAGGAGGAGAGGAGGAGGAGGAGGAGGAGGAGGAGGAGGAGGAGGGAGGAGGAAGGGAGGAGGAGGAGGGGGAGACGAACGAGAAGGAGACGGAGAAGGTGGGAAAGGGAAGGAGGCACGGACGAGAAGAACAACCCATTCCACACGCCGTCAGGGTCGGCGGATTTGAGTTTGCGCATTGTGAGGGGTGTATGTCCCCAAAACAACATGAACACCCTATTGCCTGCTATTCATACTACGCGTCCTCCTCCTCGGCCCCACGCTTCCTCCTGCCTCCTCCTCGGTCGGTCGGTCGGTCGACGCGCAGGAGGGTCGATGCGCATATGGAGAAAGAGGCGGCAAGACCACGCGGCGGCAGCAGACCCGCGAGAGGAAGCTCTGCCAGGCGCAAGAGCGCCTTCCTGCAAATGTAGAAACCAAAACACACAAACACACGGACACACAAACACACAGACGCACACACACAGACACGCACACAAACGCACACGCACTCGCACACGCACACGCACACGCACGCACGCACACGCACACGCACACGCGCACGCGCACACGCACACGCACACACGCACACACGTACACTCGCACACACGCACACACGCACACAGTCACACACGCACACGCACACACGCACACAGGCACACACGCACACACACACACACGCACCCGCACCCGCACAGGCACACGCACTCGCACACGCACATGCAAACGCATACGCATACGCACCCGCACCCGCACCCGCACCCGCACCCGGACACGCACACGCACACGCATACGCATACGTACACGTACACACACGCACACGCACACGCACACGCACACACGCACACGTACACGCACACGCACACGCACACGCACACGCACCCGCACCCGTACCCGCGCCCGCGCCCGCACCCGCGCCCGCACCCGCACATTCACACGCACTCGCACTCGCACACTCACACGCACACGCACACTCACCCGCACCCGCACACGCACACGCACACATTTTTTTGCGTCGGCATTTGGGCAGAGGGTGACTGCTCTGGCGGAATGGCAAAAGGGGACACTCTGTGTGCAAATTGATGCCGCAATGCACGGAGGAGGAGGAGCCCTGGCGCGACAGGGGGAGAGGACGCCGGGCCACTCAGAACTGCCGACTGCACACGCACACACACGCAGACGCACGCGCACACGCACACGCACACGCACACGCTCACGCACGCGCACACGCAAACGCACACGCACACGCACACGCACACGCACACACGCACACCAACGCACGAACGCACGCACGCACGCACACACGCACGCACGCACGCACGCACACACACACACACGCGCACGCACACGCACACGCACACGCGCAAACACACGCACATACGCACACACAAACACTCACACGTACACACGCACGCACGCACGCACGCACGCTCAGACGCACACGAACACACACACACACGAACACACGCACGCACGCACACACGTACACACGCACACACGCACACGAACAAACACGCACACGCACACTCACGCACACACGCACACGCACACACGTACACAAACACACACGCACCCCCCCCACCCACACATACACACCCCTCCCCCCCCTCCCACACACAGACACAAAGACATAAAGACAGACAGGCACGCATACACACGTACACACATACGCACATACATACATACACACTGACATACACGCAGACACACGCAGATACACAGACACACAGACACAACGACATACAGACACACATGCACATATACACACGTACACACGTACACAGACACACAGGCACACAGACACATAGACACACAGACACACAGGCATCCAGACACACAGCCACAAATACATACAGACACACACACACACACACACAGACACACTGACACACAGACACATAGGCACACAGCCACACAGACACACCGGCGCACAGAAACACAGACACATAGACACACAGACACACAGGCACACACATTCACACATACACACATAGACCTACACACACTTACACATAGACGTATACACATATACAGACATACATGCATGCACATACACATGTATACACACCTACACACCTACACCCGTACACACCTACACACCTACACACCCGAACTGTTGCACAACTACACATTTCCACACCTACACACGTACACATCTACACATACACGCATACACACAAACACACATACAAACATGCAAACATACACTCGTACGCACTAACACACATACACACATACCCACATACTCACATACACACCTACACAGACACCCATACACCCATACACATATACACACATACCCACATACACATACACACATACGCACCTACACATCTTCACACATACAAACCTACACATATGCACATCTTCACACATGCACACATGCACACATGCACACATACACACATACTCCTACACACATACACACATACACATACACACATACACTAGCTGACCTCTCAGCGCTGCATGCGGGCAGTCTTCGAGTTTCTGCTCTATTGAGTCGCGCCTGGGGGTCCCTCCAGGGGGCTTCATTGTGGCGGAGTGTTGCGCGTCGGGGCTAGGTGCAACGGTTATCGGCCCACGGTCAGTTTATGCAAAGGCTGGACGTGGCGCGACAGTGGGAGCGCCACGTACACGCATACACATACACACATACACACATGCGTACGTACACACACTTTCACATATTCACATACACACATACACATACACACATACACCCATACACATTCACACATGCACGCATGCACACGTACACATCCATCCATACGCACATACACGCATACACACATTCACACACATATGCACATATGCACATGTGTACATACACATATACAATTATACACATCGACACGTAGACACCTGTACACACATATACATTATACATGGGTATGTTTATGTGTCACTTGCACATCTACACATACACGCATAGTCGTAGATACACATGGGCACACATACTAATATACACGTACACATATATAACTATACACATATACACGCATACACATATATTCATACACACATATACACATACACATGTACACATACACATCCACACATCTACACATATACACCTACCCACATATACACAACTACACGCATACACAAAGACAATCACAACCACAACCACATACACATACACATATACACATCCACATACACACAGACACAGACACCTACACATACACGTACACGTACACGTACACGTACACATGCACACCTACACATACACGTACACACACATACACATATGTATATATATGTATATATGCACATACACATACGCATACACACATATGCACATACACACAACCATATTTATATACACATACGCATACACATATACAAACATACGCATACACATACACATACGCATACGCATGCACATACACATACACATACATACACATACGTATATACACATACATGCACACATGCACATACATATACACAACCACATACATACACACATGCACATACACATGCACATGTACATAGACATACACACACACGCATAAACATACACATTCGCATATTTAGACACACACACACACGTACGGGGGGAGTATCATTTGCGGCAGGTGGGACTCGGGGCAGACAGGGAACAGAACAGAGCGCCAGGAAAAGCGTAGTCCTCCTCCTTCTCCTCCTCCTCCTTCTACGCTCGATCTCGTCCCAATCTGGCCCCGGGACCCCGAGCGGCCCAGCCTTCGACATACTTAGAGGAAATCACAGGTTGTGCTCCTCTCGCCTTCTCGCGCCGCAGGGGCCCTTGACGCTTCCCGACTTTTTGAGCAGCGCCAAGGTCGAGCCCCCCCCGACGGGCCCTGGCGGAGGCCCAAGCGGGTCCCAGAGGCGCCCAAATAGATGTCCAAAGGGGCCCCAAACCGCTCCCAACCTTCCAAACACCCCGAGGAACTCACACGCTGCGCCCCTCTCTGACGCTTTCAAATATTTTTAACCAGGGCCAGAAAGCGCTCTCCCGACGAGCCCTGACGGAGGCCCAAGAGGGCCCCAGAGGCTCCCAAGTAGAGGTCAAAAGGGGCCCTGAAGATTCCAGAAACGGCGAGCAATGTCGAGCATCCTTGGCGCCAAACCAGACCCAAAGAGACCCCCAACATACCCTTCAAAAAGACCACACTGTGAGCCCAACAGGCGCCCAAAAGGTCCCCGAGCGGCCCAGGAGCATCAGGCCAGAGTTTTTTCTCCAACCATGTGATCGTGTATTCTTGTGAACACAGCATTGCTGCGATTCCTGGGGCTTGGCATCATGACGGCGACGAGCCCGCCTTCCATCCGCGCACTTCTGTAGGCCCTCCAAGCCGTCTCAACTGGAGAACGGCATTCGGCAATAACCAGCCTCCACCCCTGCATTTGTAACAAAAACAGTTAGGGGCACTGCAAACTTGCAAACGAATGACACGTTGATCCACAGGACGACAATATGTAAAACGGAGAAAAGGAGGATGACGAGGAGGACGAGGACGAGGAGGAGGAGGAGCATGACAGTAACGAGGATTAACATAAGGAGGAGGATGGAGGGTGAGCAGGAGGAGGAACAGGAGGAAGGGAGGAACGGGGGAGGAGGAGGATCAGGAGGAGGAGGAGGTGGAGCAGGGTGAGCAGGAGGAGGAGGAGAACGAGAAGGAGGAGGAGGAGGAGGAGGAGGAGGAGGAGGAGGACGGGGAGGAGGAAGGAGGAGGAGGAGGAGGAGGAGGAGGAGGAGGAGGAGGAGGAGGAGGAGGAGGAGGAAGGGGATGAGGAGGATGATGATGAGGAGGAGGAGGAGGAACGGTTTCAGCAGGAGGAGAAACGCAGGACGAGGACTCGAAACGGGCCGTCGAATGAGGGAGGGGGAATCGTGGGAGGAGGAGGAGGAGGAGGAGGATGAGGGGAATGAGGAGGAGGAGGGGAACGAGGAGGAGGAGGGGAGAAGGTGGAAGAGGAGGATCAAGAATACAACTACGAATAGGAGTAGGCATAGGAATAGGCATAGGAATAGGAATAGGAATAGGAATAGGAATAGGAATAGGAATAGGATTCGGAAGAGGCGGAAGAGGAGGATGAGCAGGACGGACATTGACAGGAGGAAGGGGTAGAGGATGAGGAAGAGGAGGAGGAGGAGGACGGATAGGAGAAGGTAGAGGAGGGACAGGAGGAGGAGCAGGAGGACGGGTGATGATGCTGCTGCTGCTGCTTATGATGATGCTGACGATGCTGATGATGGTGATGATGATGGTTGTGGTGATGGTGCTGATGGTGATTGTGATGGTGAGGATGAGGATGCTGATGATGATGATGATGAGGATGCTATTTTTGATGACGATGATTGTGATGATGCTGATGAGGACGCTGATACCGATGGTACTGATGATGCCGATGATGACGACTTTGATGATAGTGTTGCTGATGCTGCTGATGATGATGCGGATTATGATGATGATGATGATGATGATGATGATGATGATGATGATGCTGATGATGATGATGATGATGATGATGATGATGATGATGATGATGATGATGATGATGATGATGCTGATGATGATGGTGGTGTGGTGGTGGTGGTGGTGGTGGTGATGATGATGATGATGATTGATGATGATGATGATGATGACGATGATGATGACGATGACGATGACGATGATGATGATGATGATGATGATGATGATGATGATGATGATGATGATGATGATGATGATGATGATGATGATGATGATGATGATGATGATGATGATGGATGGATGAGGATGAGGATGAGGATGAGGATGAGGATGAGGATGAGGATGAGGATGAGGATGAGGATGAGGATGAGGATGAGGATGAGGATGAGGATGAGGATGAGGATGAGGATGATGAGGATGAGGATGAGGATGAGGATGAGGATGAGGATGAGGATGAGGATGAGGATGATGATGATGATGATGATGATGATGATGATGATGATGATGATGATGTGATGATGATGATGATGATGATGATTGATGATGGTGTGGTGGTGGGTGGTGGTGGTGGTGGTGGTGGTGTGTGGTGGTGTGATGATGATGATGATGATGATGATGATGGTGATGGTGTTGGATGATGATGATGATGATGATGATGATGATGATGATGATGGTGGTGGTTGTGGTGGTGGGTGGTGGTTGTGGTGTGATGTGATGATGGATGATGATGATGATGATGATGATGATGGTGATGATACTGATTATGATGATGATGATGGTGGTGGTGGTGGTGGTGGTGGTGGTGGTGGTGGTGGTGGTGGTGGTGGTGGTGGTGATGATGATGGTGGTGATGGTGATGATGGTGGTGGTTGTGGGGATGATGATGATGATGCTGCTGAGGATGATGCTGATGGTGATGGTGATGCTGCTGCTGATGATGCTCATGCGGACGATGATGCTGATGATGGTGGTGGTGGTGATGATGGTGATGATGATGGTGGTGGAGGTGGTGGTTATGATGGTGGTGGTGGTGGTGATGCGGATGGTGGTGGTGGTGGTGGTGGTGGTGGTGGTGGTGAGTGTGAGGGTGATGGTGATGGTGATGGTGTTGGTAAGGAGGAGGAGTTGGAGGAGTTGGAGGAGAAGGAGGAGGAGCATGAGGACCAGGAGGATGAGGATGAGGAGGAAGAGGAGGAATGACAGGAGGAGGCAGAGGAGGGGCAAGAGGAGGAGGAGGAGGAGGAGGAGGAGGAGGAGCAGGAAGACGGACTATGATGATGTTGCTGCTGATGATGATGGTGATGGTGACGGTGATGGTGATGGTGAGTATGAGGATGAGGATGATGCTGTTGATGACGATGATGATGACGATGATACTGATACCGATGGTAATGATGATGACGAGGTTGACGATGCTGATGATGCTGCTGATGCTTCTTCTGGCGGTGGTAGCGGTGATGATGATGATGATGATGATGCTGCTACCGATGTTGATGCTGATGATGCTTATGATAATGATGATGTCGATTCTGATTATGATGATGATGATGCTGATGCTGATGCTGATTATCATGATGATGCTGCTGCTGATGCTGATGCTGATGATGATGCTGCATATGACAATGACTATGGTAATGCTACTGAGGCTGACGATGATGACGATGATGATGATGCTGCTACTGATGCTGACGTTGACGATGACGATGACGATGACGATGATGCTGATGCTGCTGATGCTGATGCTGATGATCATACTGATGATAAGGATGATGATGGTGCTGGTGGTGTTGTTGATGATGATGATGGTTGTGGTGGTGGTGGTTGTGATGATGCTGCTTCTGCTGATGCTGCTGATGATGATGATGCTGCTGGTGGTGCTTGTGATGCCGATCTTGCTGCTGCTGGTGGTGTCGATGGTGAGGGTGAGGATGAGGATGAGGGTGATGATGATGTTGATGATGACGATGATGATGATTCTGATAGCGATGGTACTGCTGATGACGATAAAGATGATGACACTGATGATGATGCTGATGACGATGATGATGATGATGATGCTGATGGTGATGATGATGACGATACTGATGATGATGACGATGATGATGATGCTGATGATGATGGTGACGATGATGATTGCGATCATGCTGATGATGCTGCTGATGCTGATGATGGTGGTGGTAGTGGTGATGATGACGGTGATGGTGGTGGTGAAGATGATGATGTTGATACCGATGATGTTGATGCTGCTGATGCTGATGCTCATGATAATCATGATGATAATCATGATGATGCTGATGCTGATGATTCTGATGCTGATGGTCATGATGGTGATGATGGTGATGATGATGATGATGATGATGATGACGATACTGATGATGATGGTGATGATGATACTGCTGATCATGATTCTGCTAATGATGCTGATGAAGACGACGACGATGATGATGATGATGATGCTGCTGCTGATGCTGATGATGATGCTGCTGCTGACGATGATGATGCTGATTCTGATGATGATGTTGATGATCATGATGCTGATGATGTGATGATGTCGATGATGATGATGCTGCTGATGCTGATGATGATGATAATGATGATGGTGGTGGTGGTGGTAAGGAGATGGTGGTGGTGAGATGGTGGTGGTGGTGGTGATGATAATGATGATGATGATGCTGGTGGTGGTGATGGCGGTGGTGGTGTTGATGATGATGATGCTGCTGCTGCTGCTGAGGATGAGGATGAGGATGAGGATGAGGATGAGGATGATGATGATGATGATGATGATGATGATGATGATGATGATGATGATGATGATGATGATGATGATGATGATGATGATGATGATTATGGTGGTGCTGGTTGTGATAAGGGTGAGGGTGATGGTGATGGTGATGGTGATGGTGAGGAGGAGGCAGCACGGAGAGGCACAGAGCGTGGGCAGGGCGTGCGCCCAGGATCTTCACGTCGGCAACTTGGACTGGAGGACTGCCCTCGGGGGGGCCTGTTCCTGCTGCTTTCCGTGCCCCCCCTTCCTCCCTTCCCTCTTTGGCACAAGGGGGCGGTCGGGGGCAGCGTTAGGGGTCGGCGGATGTATGTTTGGCTTTCGAAGTGTCGTGAGTGCTGTTCTTTTTTCCTCCCCAGAGTAACGCTCGTTATCCGCCCCCCACCATCCTTTCGACGCTAACGATCGTACTGGACGGGGGGGCTAGCCTGGACCCCCCCCTGCATGCTGGGGCGCATTGTGCCGGCGGCGCGGACGCGCCTTGGCGGGTGCGCGCTGGCCGCCGTTACGGTTACCCTCCCGCCCGAACCCCCCTCCCCCTCCCCCGGGTAACGACCGTTACCCAGGGAAGAAAAGCAAAGGTCAATTTTCGAGGTTTCGAAGTTATATGTTCCATATATACATATAACGGCGCACCGGGTCCGGGGGCCCGGGGCCGGGACCCCGACCACAAATGTGGGCCCCGGGGGGCCCGGAGGCTCGTCGGACCGCCGGACGCCGTCCAAGATCGTTCGCAGCGGCTTCGGAACGCGCTCCGATGGCTCCAGATGCCTTCCAAGACGCCTGTCATGACACCAAGAAGGTCCCAGAAGCCTCCAAGACGCTCCGAGAGGCAGCCCAAGAGAGGCCCAAGAAGCAAAAATCGTGCCATTCCTATGGGAAAACGTATATGTTTCGCATGTTCGCCTCTTGGGCTTTCACCGCGTCCAAGACGGCCCAAGAGGCGCCCAAGACCGCCCCAAGACGGCCCAAGAAGCTTCCAAGAGGGCCCCAGGACAGCCCAAGAGGGCCCCAAGACGGCCCAGAACAGCATTTTCGTTGGTTATCGGCGGTTTTCCAGCGTCGGGTTACTCTCCACCAGCCGCGCCTTGCCGAGAGAGTCCTGGGCCAGGATCGCCCCGAACGGCCGCTGGAGATCCGAGTTGATTCACTCTGGCCCGAAAGCCCAGGGGCAACAGCACATCGGCCCCCGATCGGGCCCGATCGTCCATTCCTCGCCGATGGGGGCCCGACGGCCCACCCCGCCCAGGAGCGTGCGGGTTCGCCATCGAGGGTCCGTCGGCGATCTGTCGGCGATGTATATGTCGCCGATTCCAGGCACATGCCTGCCCCCCTGAGTCGGTCCCCCTCCTGCCGCTCCTCCTCGGGGGATCGGGCGGGGTGAGGCCTCTGGCCTGAGGCAGGCACAGCGTGAGCGTGCCTCTGATTCACGGCCACCGCGTGGCGGCCCAGTGTGGCTGCCCCCAGGGGCATCGAGGATAAAAGAACCCCTGACCCTGATAACACGATGAAGACGTGGGTGACCTCACTGAGGCCCCCGTCCTTGCATTAGGGATCACAGATCTAGGCCGTGTGGTGCGATACATCTGCAGACAAGACCCCCTATCTTTGGGCGCTCCAGACTTAGGTCCCCTCCAAAAGGGTTGGGGGTTAGGGGCCCTTTATAATTGCTAATCATAGAAGGGGGGCTCGCCCAGGCAGCTCCCGAGAGTGCAGCGGGCGGGCAGCCTGGCGAAAGAGAGCGGGTGCTGGCCTCGCACGAGCGGTGCCCCTGGGGCCGACCGGGTAAGCGGAGCTGGGCAAGGAGGCGAAGGGGACGGCAAGAGGGGAGGAGCAGAGAGCGGGGGGGAAGGGGGGCGTCTCTCTCTCTCTCTCTCTCTCCCTCTCGGCCTCTTTCTCTCTCTCTCTCTCTCTCTCTCCCTCTGTCTCTGTCTCTGTCTCTCTCTCTCTCTCCGTTTCCTCCATGCTGGCCTACGCGGATGTTCATCGCGCGTGGGCATCGGTCGAAGTAGTGCAACAAGTCACGGGAGGGGGGCGGGGGCAGCGGGGGAGGGGGAAGGGGGTGGCCAGCGAGTTGGGGGGATGTCGGGAGGACGGGGGGGGGATAGCGGGGGGCCGGAGGAGGGGATGCGAGGAGGCGGGGGTGAGGAGCGTAGGCGGGCGGGCGGGAGGAAGCGGCGGCGAAGGGTCCCCCGAGAAGTCGAGGGCGTCCAGAGTCTGGCAGCCAGGCGCGCATAGGCAGAAAGATGCAGCACGACGCAGGGTGCAAGACGTCTCGGCATGCACTGCAAGGTTGGGACCAACGGCGCTGGTGGGCTGAGCACCTCGAGCTCCACCTCGTCCTCGGCACCTCTCTCCTGGCCCTCCGCCAGGCCGCTCGTCTCCCCCGGTCGCCCCTCTGGCGGTCGCGCGTGGCTCACCTCGCGTCGACATTCGGGCTAGTCTCCCACCCCGAGTCCCCCGGGCTGCTGCCCGTCTGGGTCCGCGCCGGGCCTGCGCTCGACCCCCGGGCGGCGGCGGCCGTGGCCGCGGCCGTGCCCTCGTCGGCCCTCCCACCCTTACTTCGACGCTTCTTCGCCCGGCGGGCAGCACGCCCTCCGGGGGTCTGCGCCCGCGCCCGGCGTCTGCAGGCTCGCCCCCGGAGGCCCCGCCACGACGAGGAGGGCACTGCGGACGTCGACATCGAAACGCCTTCTCAGGCCCCGTGGAACCTGTGGAGCCTGACTAAGGACGAGCTTAGTCTGCTGTCGGTTTGGCGCGGCGGCGCCGCTCGTACCCCCACCCAGCTGGCCCACACCATGGCCCCTTACCCGTTCTGCGGGCACCCCGCCGCATCCGCCCTGCACTTCAGGGCCGAGTGCTCCCGCTTCCAGCCCGATCGCGACGAGCTCGGCCGCACCTAAGGTGTCTCCGAGGCCGGGTGGGCTGCCCAGCCCAGGGTCACGGCCAAGACGGGCTGGGTCACGGCGATCGCGGGCCCCACTACTCAGGACAGGTCCCAGTTGCAGGCGATGTCGTGCAAGCTCGGGATCCGCCCCGGGACTCCGGCCCGTCTCCGGCCAAGAGGGGGTCGGCTGCTCGGCGGCCGGCGGCTGCTGGCCTTGCCCTCGCTCCGCGCCCTCAGGGCGGCGGCCTGCCCCCCTCCCCCTCGCCCCCCCACTGGCATTGGTTCAGGTGGACGAGACGGCGGAGGCTCACGACTCACGTGCGGCCCCGGGAAGGCTGGCGGCGCGGCGGCCTGCAGCTGCTGGCCTGGACAGCGCCCCGCCTTCGAAGCGGCGGGTGGCGCTTCCCCCTCGCCTCCCCCCTGATTCTGCTAAGGTGGACACGACGGCGGGGGCAAACGGCGGAGTTCCTGACGGCCACCTTGACGACCAAGACGTCGGCGACGCCCGTCCCCCGCCCCTTCCCCCGGTTGGTTGTGTGGTGGTGGTTGGTGCGGCGTTTTGCACGCTGCAGAGCCGAACGCGGGAGTTGTCTCCTGCTCCCCCGCCGCCTGGCCGCCGCCCCCGGCGGAGGGTGGAGTCCCTACCGGAGAGGCCCCAGCGTCGGCCTCGTCCCACCTTTTTCCCTCCTTCCTCTCGCCGGACTCGGAAGCGAGCTGGTCCGGTTGAGTTGCGTTTTTGGTTGGTCCACTTCTTCTGACTCCGGCCGGGTGTGGCCTTCGGTGGCGTCTTACCGGCACCTTTTACACTTCGAACTACTTTCTCGGCCTTCGGCCGACGGCGTCTACGGCATAGGCACCGTGTCGCCGTCAACCACAATAAATGCACTGCAAGATTTTGATTGCATGGCTGAAGCAGGCCAGGAGGGGGACGCCGAAGAGGGAGGGGATGCTTGTTCTTGGCAACGGACATGTAAGCACACGAAGGTCACTGTTGCTTCGGACTCCACCCGGCGACGCTGCACCACCAGCACACGACGACTTCGACTTCGTACCAGGATGTTTGAATTTTTCCTCGGCCTGCATCTATGTTGTACATGTCTTGCGTGCGTATCCCAACACGCACTCCAGTATTCTGGGGAGGCCCAGACACTTGTCCGCACTGGTGGTTCGTTCGCTGATTCGCCTGGCTTTGACATTGGTCCCAACTTCTAGGCAAGTATGGCCGCGGCTGACACGTCAGAACTCATAGCGGGTGGTCTTGTGGACACCCTGCGGACTCCTGTGCGAGGGCCTCGCTGAGAATTTGGCCTCGAGATAATTTCTATACTTGGTCGTTCGAAGTTGGTTGCGGTGAGTGCGTATGAGGAGCTGCGGCAATTCCTGAATCAAATGTGAGGGGTTCTCTCGCGGGAGCGGGGGTGTAAATTGCAAGGAAGTCTTCACTCAATTGCGATGAAGTCTCAAGCGGGAGCGCCGTTCCTGAGTAAATTGTGAGTGAGTCTCGGACGGGAGCGGGGGTCCTGACTAAATTGCGAGGAAGTCATCGGCGGGAACACCGATCCTGACTAGATTGTGGGGAAGTCTCAGGAACGGGGGTCTTGAGTAAATTGTGAGGAAGTCTCAGATGGGAGCGGGGGTCCTGACTAAATTGCGAGGGAGTCATAGGCGGGAGCACCGATCCTGAGTAGATTGTGAGGAAATCTCAGGAGCGGGGGTCCTGAGTAAAATTGCAGGAAGTCTCAGGCGGGAGCCGTTATTGTTGTAATCCGGGGTGCCAGGGGCCCAGTTTGAGCAGGAAGACTTTCCTTGTAAAAACAGGGTGCGAGCGTTGATGTGGTTCACTTTGATGGAGAAAAATTGTATGCACCGATGAGGGGGGATCAGCAATAATTATTCTTCAGAAGTGAGAGTTCAACCACAACAGCAACAACACCAACAATATCATTATCAACAACACCAACAACATCCACAACACCAACACCAACACCACCAACACAGAAACAACACCAACAGCACCAACAACAACAACAACAGCAACAACGCCAGCAGCGACAACAACAATAGTACCACCAACGGTTGTGTTCAACAACACCACCACCACCAACAACAACAACAACAACGCAACACATAGGATTCTCACCACGGGTTCTCCATTCAGCCGCGCACACAGGGACAATGAATCACCGTTCGGCCCCCTCACTCTGACCTACGGCCAGATATCCATATCCATCGCTTCTCGATTCCTTGGGGTACGACCCCGCGGCAGTGGAAATGGACGTATTCTGGCGGCGCATTTTCTGTTTTCCTGGGCAGACGGCGCGGCGGCGCGGCGCGTCGTTTTGAGAGTGTGCCTGCCGTTGGGCCCCCCGCCATCTGTGCGGACCCCGTGTGGGAGGCCTCGAGGGGAGCCGCGCAGGAGTGGAGGGGCACATGGGGAGGGCAATGGCATGTGAGGAGCTTGGTGATGAGGCGGAGGAGGTGCGGTGGATGATTGATGGCGGATTTGGAGGAGGAGGAGAAGGAGTAGATGGAGCGGGAGGAAAAGGAGGAGGGGAGGAGAAGGAGGAGGGAGGAATGGGATGAGGACACGGAGGAGGTGGTGGAGGAGGAGGAGGAGGGGGAGGAGGGGGAGGAGGAGGAGGAGCTGGAGGAGGAGGAGGAGGAGGAGAAGGAGGAGGAGGAGGAGGAGGAGAAGGAGGAACATGGCAGAGTAAGCAGAAGAACCAGCAGGAAGTGGTGGAGAGAAAGGGAGGAGGGAGGCACAAGGGGGTGGGGGGAGACGGAGAAGGGTGGAGACCGGGGCGAAGACGAGGGTGCAGACGGGGCCGCGAGGGCATGGGCCAGGTCGTACGTGTCTTCAGTTTCCCATCGCGTGCCCGTTGGTTTCCGAGAGGGGGGCAGCTCCGAGCTCGGGGTCGCGCCCAGGGGCGCGGAGGTACTCGCGCTTCGCGCGTCCGCGGTCTGGGCCAGACAGCTGCCGTCCTCCAGATGGCGGCGCGGGTGCTGCGGAAATAACCGCGCGTCGCGCATCGCGGGGCGCGGGCCGCGATGCGCGAAGTTAGGTGACCCAGGAACTTCAGCATTGCCGGATCCCGCCGTAGGGGTGCTGTGCTTCAAGACCGCCCCTGGCTCCTCGTCTTTTCGGCTTCTCCTCGACATGTGGTTTTTGCATGACGACTGCAGTGCTTACTGAGCTTGGTTGCCTGGGGGTGCGGAGGACGACCGAGGAAGATCTGAAGAGGCATTTCAACGAGATCTGCCCGGAGGCTGGGAGCAGCCCCGATCTTGCGGCATGGCGCCACATTGCTCGTGAAACGAGGGTGGGAGCAGCATCGGTGGTGGCAGGGTTGGCGGGCAGTCCATGGAGATCGGCACCACACGCGCACACATATACAATTTGATCCCTCAGCAGGAAGGCGCGCAGCGACCCTGCTGGTCCAGGTCGCGCCTGCGACCTGAAAGGAGTCAAGCGAAGGCAGGAGAGGAGAAGAGAGAAGGAGGAGGAGGAGGAGGAGGAGGAGGAGGAGGAGGAGGAAGAGGACCAGTGTAAACCCAAGAGTCATCAACGATGCTGGAGTAAACCTTGCCTCCAAGCTCCCTCTTCATAGGCGCTTACAACGGTTCATTTCCATTGAGGGAGTTGCCTCGTTGGAAGACAACCGTTTGAAGACCCCGAAGCATGCCAAACTTTTGTTCTGGGGATTCCAACGCCACGGATCAACCCGATTGTTGCGTCTTGACGATCCTGAATCGTGCTTGAGCTCCATTCTTGGGACTTCAGCACCGTGTGTCAACGTAACTGTTGCATCCGCATAATCTTGAATCTTTCCAACACGCAATTTCTGGTACATTGATCATGGGAGCCCGTAAACCTCCTGCAACTTTTATAACGAATGTGCGCGGCGCTAGGGCGAGAGGGTACATGTTGGCAAGGAACCGCCCTCAATCCGTAAAGCTCTTGCAATTTTTCCAACGAGTGTGCGCGGCGCTAATGCGATAGCCACATGTTGAAAACCATTCGCCCTCAATCCGTGAGCCATTTAGATTTTTAAGACGGCTGTGCGCGGCGCGAAGGCGAGAGCCATATTTTGAGAACGACCCGCCCTCCTTCGGTGAAACTGTTGCCTATGTTTACGCTTCAGAGTCATAAGTGGTGAGGAAGTCTCAGACGAAACGCCTGGCCCGCCCTAAACCCAGGCCTCGGGGTGCGAAAGGGAGAAGTTAGTTATGAGAAAAAGGAATGGAGGAGGAGGAGGATGAGGAGGAGGATGAGGAGGAGGATGAGGAGGAGAATGAGGAGGAGGAGGCGGATGAGGATGAGGAAGAGGAGGATAAGGATGAGGATGAGGATGAGGAGGAGGAGGAGGAGGAGGAGTAAGAAGCGGAGGAGGAGGAGGAGGAGGAGGCGGAGTAGGCGGGCTGTCTTGGGGCCCTCATGGGGCCGTCTTGTGGCTCTCTGGGGCCGTCTGTGGTCCCTCTTGGGCCGTTTTGGGGCCGTCTTGGGGCCCTACTCGGGCTGTTTGAGCCGTCTCGAGGGCCTCATCGGCTCCCAGGGGCTCTTTTGATCTTGTTGTTGTTCTGCCCATGCCCTCTTAGAGCTATCGTGAGCCGAGGGACCCAGGACACCTACATTTTCCCCAAACCATCGGAGATTCTCACAGGCAACCCGCATAGTAAGGATGAGCGACTTTCCAACGCTACCCTCGCATCCTTGACTCTTCGGTCCACCGTTGGTAACTTTCGCTGGCCAGCCTTGTTCGAACAACCTTAACAGGGCCATCCAAGGCCCTTGCACCCTTACCGCGGATCCTTCTTCTACGGGTTGACTGTACATGCTCGAGTGGCTCGAACCCTTCCTGCGGGCGTCTTGGCCATCTTCCTGTGGTGTATTGGAAGCCTCTTGGAGCATATTTGGCGTCTCCTGGGGCCTTCTTGAGGACTGCTGGGTGGTTAGCGGGACAATGCCAAGCTACCTTGGCTGCCTTCTTGAGCCGCCTGAACAGCCCTGAAGAGCCGTGGCAAACCCCAGGGAGGCGTAGGGGCTGCCACCGAGCCTCGGGATGGGGAGGGGGCGATGCACGCAGTTGGGCGGATCTTTTTGTTGTGTTATCAGAAGATGGTTCAGCCACGCTACCAGGCAGCACTTAGCATTCTAGCACGCCTCAACGTCCTAGGAGGCACGGTGGCGGACACGCTGCAGGGCTGGCGCCCTCCAAGAGCGAGCCCATCCCACAAGCAGGCCACCCCCGCCTCCTGTTGGCGCTGCTAAATCCCTGCGTGCAAGTGCGTTTGCCTACAGGCCTGAAGTGGCTAGCTGTCCTGCGAGACAGCCACCATGATCACTCTCGCCGAGGACCCGTTGTGTGACGAACTTTTAGGAGGTGCCTCGAGCTACTGCCTCGGGTGCCGCCCCTTCTCCCCGCTCCTATCCATCCCTGCGCCCCCGCCTTTGGCTCCGACAGCGGGTCCTCACCTCCCTCCTTCGCTCCCCTCCCCCCTCCCTCCTTGCCTCCTCCCTGCTTCCTCTCTTGCTCCTTCCCTCCGTCTGTGTGTGCCCGTTGTGATGGCAGATCTGCCATGGCAGGGCCGCCCACGCCCAGTTTGGGCGTTGCGCCCTGGGGCAGATTCGCCCACGCCGTGTCGGGCGTTTCTCTCCGCCCCATGGGCCCGCGACAGCCCCCGCCCCTCTGCCTGCCCCACCTCTCCTTCGCCTCCTCTGCCTGCGACCCTCCCTCCTGCCCCCATGCGTCTCGCCGAGCTCCCCCGGGCCCTCCCTCTGCCCCTCCCCCCCGCATCTTCAGCTTCCCTCCCGCCGCCTCCTCTTTGTGCTGATCCTCCTCGTATTCGTGCGCCGCTCTCTTCGTCTTCGCTACCCGTCGCCCTTGTGCTCCGCCTCCGCGCCTTCTCGTCCCGCCTCGGCGTCGTCGCCCCCTCCCGCGTCGGCCTGGTCCGCGCTTCTTCTGCTTCTTCGTACCCCCCCCTCTGCCCGAGGTTGCCTGGGTGAAGGCGCCGCCCCACAGCCCTGGCTGCCGCGGGCACGGGGATGCTGGGGCTCCAGGGGGGGGGACGAGAGGGGAAGTCCACAGCGGGTGGGTCATGATGCGGAGGACGTGAGGGGGGGATGGGGCACAGGTGGCACGGAGGGCTGAGAACAGTCATAGCCTTGAGGGGTGCCCTCATGTTCTTCGTGTCTGGACTCTCCACCCTGGAGTGCTCTTCGTTTGGAGCTTTCGGCCCTCAGCACAGGGGCTCGTGCTCTTACTGTTCTTTCCAGTAACCTCGCTCCAGATGCAGGCAAGGAACGGCAAGGCGTTCGGAGAGCGTCTTCAGGCGTGAGGCTGCACTGCTTTTCCTCACGAGGACTGCAAAGGAAGGACCGCCCCATACCTCGCCCTCGCCTCCTCCCTGTCCCGCTTCCGCCCCTCCACCCTCGTCTACCTCCCTGGGGTAGGGTCTCCGTTTGCACGTGACGCACCGAGTCCGTGACATGTCAGGCCCGTTGCGCGCGCAGGTGCTGGTCATTTTGGATGTTCCGGCCTCTCCGCGACCCACGGCCTCCAGGACGTGTGTCCTGCCAGCGTGGCCGAAATTCGGGACGCGCATTGTCCCTCCATCCCCCCTCCCCATGCCCCTCCCCGCTCCCCTGCGGAGCCCCCTCCCCTCTCCCCCCGCTCTCTCGAACGCGATCCCAAGGTGCCGCCCCATGAGGACGGACCGGACGAGGCCCACGGCCTCGGCACCCGCGGGGGAGGAAATCGGACGGGGCTAGGAGGAGGAGGAGGAGGAGGAGGAGGAGGAGGAGGAGGAGGAGGAGGGCGAGGAGGAGGAGGACGAGGACCAGGACGAGGAGGAGGAGGAGGAGGAGGAGGACGGGAGGAGGAGGAGGAGGAGGAGGACGAGGAGGGGGAGGGGGAGGAGGGAGGAGGGAGGAGGGAGGAGGAGGGAGGAGGAGGGAGGAAGAGGGAAGGAGGAGGAGGAGGAGGAGGAGGAGGAGGAGGGGGAGAGGGAGGGGGAGGAGGAGGAGGAGGAGGAGGAGGAGGAGGAGGAGGAGGAGGAATAATAACAATAATACTAATAATAATAAGAAGGCGAATACCAATAATATTAATAACACGAATACTAATCCTAATCAGCAGAATAAGACGAACAATACGGATAATAATGCTAATGCTACGACTAATACGCATAACAATAACAATAATACTACTACTACAAAGAGTTATAATACGAAGACGAAGAACATGAATACTACTACGCATAATAATAAGACAACTAAGAATACTACGAAGCACAATAAGAATACGAATGCAAATACTACGATTAATAATACTAATAAGGCGAATACTAATAAGACGAACAAGTATAATACGACGAATAATCATAATATGATGGTTAATAATAATAATACGAGTAAGAAGAAGTCTAATAACTACTCAGAAGAATACTAAGACTAATAATAAGAGTGATAAGAGTACTCATAATAACAACAACAAGACGAGTAATAATAATATTAATAATAACAGTAATACTGGTAATCATAATAGTAATAATAATAGTAATAATAATAATGCTACTAATTCTACTAATAATAATACTAATAAGAATAATACTAATAATAATACTGAGAATGAGAATACTACGCACAATAGTGATAATAATAAGAATAAGAATAAGGAGACTAATAATAATACGAAGAATAATAATAATAAGAATAAGAATAATTATAACAAGAATAAGAAGAAGAGGACGATGAGGAGGAGGAGGAGGAGGAGGGGGAGGAGGAGGAGGACGAGGACGAGGAGGAGGAGGAGGAGGAGGAGGAGGGGGAGGAGGAGGAGGAGGAGCAGGAGGAGGAGGAGGAGAAGGAGGAGGGGGAGGAGAAGGATGAGGTTGAGGAGAGGGAGGGCGGAGGAGGAGGGAGGAGGCCAGCGGCTTCCAGACCGTGCTGGAGCGCTCTCAGGGCGTTCCGGAACGCTCTGAGAAGGCCGCGGCGCCCGAGACATCCTCCAAAGCCGCCGTACCTCAGAGATTTTCGATTCATGCTCGCGCGGTTTGAGCCTCGTCCTGGCCTTGTCTTAGGGGGAAGCCCTGCGATCGTCGCCGCCGCCGCCAATCGCCGCCGTCGTCGCCGTCTTTGGGGGCAGGGGCGAGGCAGACCCAGATCTCCGACGGCCTGCCTTCTTCATCTTCGGGCGCTTTCCCTGTAAGCTCAGCCTCAGGGACCGTCATCGGAGTGGTTCCGACAGTTCGAAGTCAGAACGGCGTCTCGCATCGACGTCACCATCGAGATTTTGAGACATGGCAAGATGGAAGGCGACAGGAACATCGGCATAGCCCGAGGACTACGGCCCTTCCGCGCCGGCCGCCAGTCGGCCCGTCCCCAAAGGGACGATTCGTGCGCTCGCCTCGCCCCGCTTCTGGGGCCGCTATCGTCGGGCGACGAAATCTATACATATCCACTGCTCCCTGGCCAGGCCCATCCTGAACCCAGGAGTTCTGCATACGCCCTCCTGGCGTGGCCAGGAGGGCGCAGCGTATACACAGCTGCTGGGTTCAGGATGGGCCTCGCCAGGGAGCAGTGGATATGTATAGATGTCGTCGCCCTATATCGGGCCCCAGGACCAGCAACAAAGAATCGGGGGCGAGAAACATGCCCCGGTAGAGCGATCGGGACCTCTCGGGCCGCGGACTGAAAGAACAGTGCAATTATCGGCGGAATGTTGGGGTAGGATGGAGGAGGGGAGGAAGGAGGAGGAGGAGGAGGGAGAGGACGGATGACGGAGGAGGAGGATGACGGATGACGGAAGACGGAGGACGGAGGCGGAGGAGGAGGAGGAGGAGGAGGAGGAGGAGGAGGAGGAGGCGGAGGTGGAGTAGGAGGAGGAGGAGGAGGAGGAGGAGGAGGAGGAGGAGGAGGAGGAGGAGGAGGAGGAGGAGGAGCAGGAGGGAAGTGGCAGGCGGGAGACAGACTGAGGGGCGAAGGAGCAGGAGGAAGAGGTGGACGACATGAGAGGCAGTGGATTGGGGGCGGGGACAGGTGGAGGAATATGGAGAAAACAGGAGGTGCTGGATGAGCTGCAGGAGCACGGAACAAGGAACGAGGAACGATGCAGCAGATTCGGAAGCTGGGCGAGGTCTGCTAAAACTGTGGCTGCTAAAACGGCCCTCCCGGAAGGAAACAAAACTTCCCGGAATGAGGCGCGGCACGCGAAGCAGTCAACGGGTTTCTTCCCGGAAGGACGAAGATAACTTCCCGGAGGTTGATTTTAGCAGCCACGGATTTAGCAGCCCTCGCCCGGCTTTCCACAGATGAGTCGGCTAGAGAAGGGTGAGCATGAGTGAACACGATCGAGGAGGATCGAGGGGAAGGCGCAGGAAGAGCAGGAGGAGGAGCATGAAACAGAGGACGGGGGCCACGAGGATCCGTCGCCATCTTATCCCAAGCTCCTCCTCCTTCACCCTCCGCCCCCCCCCTCCCTGAGCGACGGAAAAAGGTGCGGAAGAAATCGGCGATGCCCAACAACCGTATTGTTTCGTTGGGGCAGGAATTGCTGTCCACTTGTCGGGTCTTTCTTGTCCTGCCGACATTTTTTCTGGTTCGTTTGCCAGCTATTCTTGTCCACTTGTCAGTTTTCCTTGTCTATTGCGGGCAGGTTTTGTTGTTGGGCACTGCACCCAGTTCGGTCGTGCAAAGCCCTTAGCGTCGCTCGGGCGTGTGTTCTTCTTGGCGAGGACCATCGAGGAGCATCGTGGAACATATTGCGAAGCAAAAAACACGCACAAAACCGAAACACGCACGGGGAATGGCCGTCCCAGCGATGGCGAGAGCCTCGTGACTCCCCTCCTCTTTGTCCGGGGCCACGGTCACCAGCCGTGCGCCCCGCTGTGCCGCCGCTGCGCCCCTGCTCATCCCCACTCGTCGCCCCGCCGTGCTTGCTCGTCCTCCTCCTCCTCTTCCTCGTCCTCCTCCTCCGCCTACGTAATCTCCTGTTCTTCCGCCATCCTCGCCGTCGTCGTCGTCCTCCTCCTCCTCCTCGTACTTGTCCTCCTCCTCCTTCTCGCTTTTCTCCCTTTCCTCCCCCTCGTCGCCCTGGCCTCATCTGCGGCGTCCTCCCGCTGCGCATCCTCCCTCCCTTATCCAGCGTCCCGTCTACCTCATCCTTTTCCCCTCGATGACGTCCCTCCCTTATCCGGCGTCCCGTCTACCTCATCCTTTTCCCCTCGATGACGATGACGATGACGGTGACCATCGTCATCGTCATCGTCATCGTCATCGTCATCGTCATCGTCATCGTCATCGTCATCGTCATCGTCATCGTCATCGCCATCGCCATCGCCATCGTTATCGTCATCGTCATCGTCATCGTCATCGACATTATCGCCTCTTGCCCTCAACCCTTCGTCCAGCCTCTCCTGTCCCCCTTTCCTGTTCCACCTCTACCCCTCTCCCCAGTAGCCTGGTATTCCTCCATCGCCTTGCTCCCTTCATAACTTGTAAGACATGTGTCTCTCATTGCATTTCGTCCAGGCGCGCCAGACTTTGAGGCCAAGGCCTTGCCCACCTGGTCTTCGCTAGGCCCGGACGATGTCCGCAGCGGTGGTCGTATCGTATCGTATCGTAGCCTCCTCCAGCGACTGCCCGCGGCCCGCCAGAACGGGAACTTCCGCAACAAGGGCTGGGGCTTGGTCAGATACAGGGACCGCCTCTGCTCTGCCGTGACGCCACCACTCGTCGCAACATGTGGGTGCAAGAGTGTTGCATCATCTCGTTCATGCTTGACCGTATATCTGTCATCGATACCCTATTCTCAGACATCCTGGCATCTGGCGAGTGTGTCTTTGATGCTCTCTCTCTCTCTCTCTCTTGTTCTGTCCAGCCCCTGTTGGGTCGTCGTCGCTTGAGCAGAGCACTGCTGCTCCTCCTCTCCTCCCGCCTCCTCCAGCCGCCTCCCTTCTCCTGGGTGCTGTCGCTTGCGCAACTGCCGCCGCTTTCTTGAGCTCCTGGGAGCTCCAGCGGAGTGCGGTCCTGTGCGGGTCAGAACGACACCGCGCCTCCTCATGCGCTGTCGATTGCAGCGCTGTCGCCACCTTCGCGGGCTCCTGGGATGTCCAGCGGGGTGTCGTCGAACGCGGACCCAAACGGGGCCTCTCCGTCACTGGGTGTAGCCAATTGCGCAATGGCCGCCATACACGTGGGCTCCTGAGATCAGAACGAGACCTCGCCCCCTTAGCGCTTCCAACTTCGCAACTGTCGCCACTTTCGTGAGCTCCTGGGATGTCCAGCGGGGCGTCGTTTTACGCGGACCCAGATGAGATCTCATGAGATCTCGCCCTCCCTGGGCAGCGCCGCTTGCGCACTTGTCGCCACTTTCTGGGACTCCTAGGAGGTCCAGCCTCGTGTGCGTTTCCGCGCGGACCAAACGAGACCGCGCCTCCCATGGGCGATGCCAACTGCGCAACTGTCGCCGTTCTCGTTTGGAGGCGTTCGCCAGGGAGGCGTTCACTCTGCTCCATGTCAGTTTGGCCAGGTGATTCGTTGGTTGTACTCCGAGTCCGTGCAACGCGGTCGTGCCCTTCAGGGCAGAGCGGGAGCCATCTTTTTTTGGCTTGCTACCGTTGCCTGGTCTTTCTTCCTTCTCCGTCGCTCGTCGTCGTCGCCGCCCTCGCTCTCCGAATGGCTTGTTCGCGGCGGCTGTGTCTGTATGTACATGTAGATGTATACATGTCAAGATACGTACATACATCATATACAGATGTATGGCAATCACCTTGCCCACTCTGCGTTTTCGATCTCCTGGTAAGAGCTCGCACGTGTGGGACGAGTCACGGCCTCTTGCGTCTCTCCTTTCCTCCTCAGAGAACTGACGCCATGTTCGTGAGCTCCGAGGATGCCCAGCGGAGTGGTGCGGTCCCACGCGCGGTCCCGCCCCACGGTGCTGTCGGCGGCGAGATCCGACACCTACCAGGGCTCATTTCGATTCCTCCGGCTCAAATCGATCCGATTTCGCTCGAGTCCGATTCGATTCGTCTTCGGATTCTGATTTGGGCTTCGGGTTCCCCAGAAGGAGTTCTTACAAGCCTGTCGATTTCCGCCGATCCGACTGCTCCCGACTTGGCTGCCGATTCCCGCCGATCTGATTCATTTCGATCGCCGATCCGACTTATCGCTTCGATTCTGGGCTCTCCTGCCCTACCCTCGCCGATCCACGATGCAGGCAACTCGATGGGCGGTGGGAGTGCGGTTCGGAATTCGTCGGACACGGCGAAGTCTTGCCTCCGCGTCCCATCTAGTCAGGAGATCACCACCCACCAAACCACTCCAACCTAACCCGAAGGCCCCAATTTGCCCTCCATTCCCAGTGGGTGGGGGGGGGATCGGGGAACACTGACAACACACATATGAAGCCCGTGCCCCCACCAACCCGAAATGCGGGTCTTCGGGTTGGGTCGGGGTGGTCTGGTAGGCTGTCCCGAGAGTCGATGGCTGGTGGGGGCAGCGTTCGGACAGGCCTCGGAAAAAGATAGCGAACACTCATGCCACATTCATCTGTCAACGCCTCCCCCTTCCCGAATCATCCTGGTGAAGGTCCCAACCATATGCAGTTGTGGGTACCGTAATTGTGAATAGCTGCTTCAGTGAAGCTCCCTATGGGGCCACGAAGCGCTGCACTGGGCGGGGGGGGGGACGCTGTACTGTGTGGGTGGTGTGCCGAATTGGGTTTCCGGGACGCATGTGGACGGTCCCACTGAGGGCTTCGGTGGAGCTCCTTGTGGGGCCACGAAGCGCTCTACTGAGCGAGTG